CACGAGCGACTTGAAGGTTTTGAGGTAGTCGATGATCTGGATTGCGTACTCGTAGTGTTGTTGAGTCGGGTTGCTCATAGCGCGGGCGAGATAGGCGACGTGGAAGGATATATCGGCTCGCAGTTGGGTTGCTGGATACAGCAGCTTGCCAATAACCTTTTGGTAGTTCTGAATTTGTTGTTGAGTTGCAAGATCAGTTGGAGATCGCAGCTTCAACTTGAGTACTGAGGTATCAAGCGGCGTGTAGCGAGGGAGCGCGTGTTGACGACTATACTCCTCTACAAGCTTGTCGACATATGACTCCATTGAGATCTCGATGAGTCGGGATGGTCGTGAGCGTCGGATCCGGAGACCTAGGTAGTGAGAGATTGGTCCCAGATCTCGACACTTGTACTTCTTGTATACAGCCTCTTTGATCTCCTTCATGCGTTGCTTCGTAGCTGTGATGAAGATGATATCATCAACATACGCAAGGATAAGACTGCCGTCTAGGTGTTTGAAGACACATGGATCTGACTCTAAAGGATCGAAGCCGATACCCTTGAGATAGCTCGATAGCTCATTGTACCAGAGGCGTGGTGAGCGGCGCAGGCCGTATAAAGCTTTGATAAGCTTGGCTTTGCGTCCATCTGGCAGGCGGACATAGACTACTTCGTTTTTGTCTAGTTTACCGTTGAGAAAGGCGGTAACAACGTCTGCTTGCTCGCATTCTAAGTCTTCGGTTGCGACAAGGGCGAGAAGGACTTTCAGTGTAGTTGCGCGAGCTACTGCAGCGTAGGTTTCGCGCCAGAAGTCGGTCTCCTGCCTATTGCCACAGACAACCAGTCGAGCCTTGAAGCGCTCGAGTTGTCCATCGTCCTTGACTTTGTATTTGTATACCCACTTAGTAGGCAGGGCGTATACGTCGGGAGGTATCGTAGTTGTAGTCTCCCATGTGCCATTCTGGTCGAGTGATACGAGCTCTTCATCTTCAGCAGCGATCCATTGCTTGCTGTATGGATGAAGGCGTGCTGCCTTGCGTGTGGCAGGCTCGGGCGGTAAGTCTGTTGTTGTTGCCTCTGTAATTGCCGTAGCGAAGCAACGAGAGACTGCCGCGTATCGGTTGGGCGGTCGAGTGATGCGACGACGTCCATCGAGTATGTTACGGGCATCAAATGATGCACTGATCTCGTCGTGACGTGGAGCGTTTTGGGATGTATCCCGACGCTGAGGTGTTGCTCGAGCATTAGCAACCTCGGTAAGACTGTTGTAGTTGTCAATATCCGCGTCAAAGTCAAAGCTAGACTGCGCTTCAGTCTCTAGTCCATCAAATACATAACCACTACCTTGCTCCGGGAGAGAGACTTCATGGTGTGGAAATGAAGAGGGATCTAGTGCTGGCGGTGGATCTTGGATATAGAAGCTTTGATCCAGTTCGGTTGTAGCTGTGTCTTCTTGGACTACAGCTTTTACGTCGTGTTTAGGCCAAACAACACTGCTCGTACGGTGTATAGACTGTGTGACTGGATCCCACATGAGATAGATCCGAGATCCTTCTCGACCGACGAAGTACATCTTGACCGATCGTGGTTCGAACTTGGCGCTCTGAACTCGTCGCTGTACTGGTTGATGGACGTACCCAGCTTCTCCGAAGGTGCGGAAGGAGCATAGGTTAGGCACAGGGTTTGCAACCTTCATGTGCTCAAATAGCAGCTGTCTTGGTGTCTTACTGTCTGGTACAGCAGAGCTGACGCTATGGTTAAGGACGTCGATGGAGTACTGGGCTGCGTATGGCCAGTATGACTTAGATATGTGAGGCGCCGCCAAAATCATTGTGCGTGCTCGGACCTCCACTACGTAGTTGCTGGCTTCAGCGACTCCATTCTGGTGGGGTGTATAGGCGGTAGAAGGCTCAAAGATGATGCCTTTGTTCTTAAAGTAACGCCTAGTCGTCTGGTTGAGGAACATGTTGTCGTTGTCCATGTGAACGATCGATACTCGAACGTGGTGTTGAGTTTCCATCTTGTCCAGGTGTTGTATAAGCTTAGATGTGATTGCTGCTTTGCAGTCTGTGAAATCAATCCAGCGGTATCATGAGTAGTCGTCGGTGTACAGTATCCAGTAGCGCTCACCGTTGACACCTTCGGGCGTCACGGGTCCAACAATATCGATATGAATACGATGGAGGAACGTGGTTGAGCGGGCTGGAGACCGTCGTGAGATCTGTTTCTTCGATTTGGATAACATGCAGGCCTCGCATGAGAATGCCTGTGTTGTAGTGAGACGTAGGCCGGTGGTGTTAGCGACAAGAAGCTTAAGAGCTTTGGGGTCGGCATGGCCAAACAGCTCATGGAGCTCTTGGAGAGTAATCTCGCGATAGGGAGCGAGTACACCTGTTGGGTTGGTTGTCGCGGCGGTTGCAAAGGCAAACGCGCGAGCTGCCTCAAGCTCTGTGTTGGCGAGGAGGAGCGTAGGGATCTTGTCGATCTCAGGTGTGAAGGCGATCTCTTGTTGTGATGGCATGAGGTACAGCTTGTTGTCCCAGCCGTGGTAATAGAGATTTTTCGCTCGTAGTTTGGAGTGGGAGAGGACTGATACAAACATGTCCGGAGCGTATAGCACGTTAGTGAAGGAGACCTTGTTGAGTACACCTTCTGACGTGACGACAGTGATCTGAATGGTACCTACCTGCTTGGCAGTAATAGGCCCGGCTCCAGTATTGATTATAGCAGGAGCAGTGTCGTGTAGAATTTGGAACTTGTTGCGATCATTGCAGATGTGATCGCTGCTTCCAGTATCGATAATAAATCGTTGTTTGAAATTAGAGGTCTCCTTAGTGAGACTCTGTACCTTCTCTGACAAATGAACCGTTGTAAAGGTAAAACCTTCAGCATTAATAGCTGCGGCGTTGGTGCCAGTGGGCTGTTGTTTGCCTTGTTGTTGAGCTTGGCGCTGACGCCAGGCTTCAGTGGCGAGATGAGGAAAGGTGTACCAGCAGTTATCACCTCCTCCAGTATGGTTGCAGTCGCAGTGCTTGCAGTATGGGGAGGTATTTGTAGGTCTCTGGGTCGCACCCTCAGAACCTCTACCTCGTCCGCGCTGGGCTCGCCCATTGCCTCGATTGCCGCGGCCACGGGTGGCGCTTCTGTTGGCGTCGTTGTTATCACCAAGAGGCTGACTGCGGTTGTTGTCACCCCCAGAAGCTCGGATAGACGTGTTAATGGTCTTGATTGGGTCGTCGCGGCGGGCCTCGTCAATGAGCTCGCTGCACATGCGATCGACGTTCAGAGTAACGTTGCGGCGCAGATCAGCGCGGCGATCGCGTCCGTAGTCCGGGTAGGCGTTGTTGATAGCAAGAATGAACTGATACACTCGAGCTTTGTTGGATAGCTTACAGTCTGCGATGACGTCAAGCTTTGCAAGTCCTGCTTTGAACTTGTCGGTGAAGTTGGCTGTAGAGGGGCAGTCTTGAGCTCTCAGCTTAAAAAAATCTGCCCAGATAGTACATTCTTCAGTGACGCCTTGCTCTCGATAGCGAGCGGTAATAGCTTCGTACTTCTGCTTCACAGTAGGCAGGTTCATGACGTTGTCCCATACTGATCTTGGTACTGTATTGAGTATGGCCAAGGTGAGAGACGATTCTCGGGAGTTGTAAATACGATAGAGCTCATAGTCTTTGTCGTACTGTGTAGTAACTTCTTTGTTGTGGGCTCGTACGCGTTGCTGAGCGTCAAGCAGAAGTTGTGGCGTGTTGAATGCCGATGACGTAGTTGTCGGTTCAGTTTGATAGTGAGGTGTTTCTGGGTATGGAACCACGTAGCTGCCGTCGATTAGACCTCCGATAGAGTGAATATTTGCGTACAGCTTCAATGCTGCTTCCCAGTGGTAAGCGTTGCTACCATCTGCTTGTAGCTTTGGGATCGCGTCCATCGCTGTGGATGGCGCCATGGTGACTTTATCGTCGTCGCGCGAGTGACTGATGTTGTGTTCAACTAATCGGTTCTGCTGCTGCGGAAATCGCACCTCTAGAGCACTTTATCGTGATAGAGGAGGGCTCATAACCTGATGAAGGTGGAGAAACGTGTGCGAACTTGTTGTATTGGAGCTACGGGAGGAGTGAGAATATCTATGGTGCGCGCACGGAGCAGCTGACTAATCAGTGCCTGGCCAATCAGAGCACGGGAAGCCTGATTCACCGTGAATACTAGTGAAGGCTCTTACCGCGTCTCGACACTTCTGGAGATGTTGGACGAAGACGACGATACGGAGTTCTACGATTGCGTAGAAAACTAGTTAATTCTCCCTCTATTATTGTTCCTCGCTTTATTGCGCAGCAGTAGTGTTCTCATTTGAACTCGCGTAGCTTGCGCGGCAAACCGAGAGGGATTGGTATGCTGGGGGAGAGGTGGATGAGCGTCAGGCAGCGCGGCTGTGGCTTAAGTGGCTAGTGCGGCGGTTAGCCGCAACTCCGCTGCGTCGCAAGGGCGCGCAGTGTGCCTATCTTTTAGTTGAATCTATTGCTATTGGTTTATATGAGTCTCTATAGGAGTATGTCTAGTTCAGTCGACAGAGATCATGTTGCTAATCAGTAGAGCGTAGGCGAGACGAAGCTCCCAACACGAAGATAGATTATTCCCACGTGCGTACCATGGTCCGAAAGTGACGCAGTAGGAACGAGGATCACTCTTCGAACAGATTTAATGATGGGATTGTCGTGTACCTACTTGCTGTTGGTAAGAGACGACGGAAACACGTGCATGTCGCGACACAGGCGAAGTGTACATGACTCCAGAACGTAATAGCGACGAGGGTAGGCTTGACTTTAAGAATCTAAACATACTCCTATCTTGATTCTTATCTTTGTTAGACACTATCCGGTATATCCGATGATCCAGTTGTCGTCAAGAGACAAGATGGGATGCTGGAAGGCTAGAATATGAACTTGGTTAGTCGATTTCCCGACGTGGTCGACCCACGCTTCTGTCTTCGCCTCCACCTCCACGCACCCTCGAACACTTGACTCATCTTATGACACGTTGCCAACGAAGCACATGCCAAGGAGGAACTGGTGGCTCTGTCTGGAGATGACCGGGCTCGTGTGACGCCCAGGCGTCCTGCCAATTCTGTGCGGACCACCCTTCGTGCTCTCTCAATAGCTGTTCAACGTTGTGAGGTTCATCGACGGGAAATTTGGTCCTGATGAGAGAGCTGTTCATTGATAGAGCGTGAACCGCTTCTGGGAGTCCCTCGTAGGTGAAGCCGGTAGTGTTAAGCCGTCGATCGAGCCAGGAAGATTGTGGTAGGAGTCCACGAGCATAGCAGATATCGAGAGCAGTCTGCCAGGCGACATCGCGTTGAAGAACGCGGAACACGCGTGATGTGTGTTCTGGCACGGATCCGCCATGGAGCACGAGGGTGTAGGAGCTATGCGGCGTCCCAAGCGAGGGCAGAACGTCAGCTTCTTTAATCCATTCGCCTACTGCCCTAGTGATGCTGCTAGCGGGACAACGGTCGTCTTTCAGGTAACCTTCATCAAACGGATTAAAAAAGCTCGGGTCGGAGTCTAAGTAATCCATTATACGTTCGTCGGCTATGGGGAACGCATTGCCCTAGAGGCTAATGATACGCTCAACTTTGAGTTGTGGGTAGTCTCGACAGAGGGCAATGAATCCCCTGCCGTGACTCTCGGGACCCGCGATAGACTCGTGGTCTTTGAGTAGCAGGACCTTTTGGACGTTATCACGTGTAGCCTTGGATATAGACTACAAGAAGCGGAGAGCTACTGAAGCTGCTGAATAAATGTACTTCGTGTTTGAAGAATCTATATACAAAGTTCCAAGGTCGCCGTACTATAGTATTGGTAGCTCTGCTATTTGAAGCGCTGCGAAGGCTGGCGGAAGAAACGACATAGTCGCTGCCACCAAGTTCCCCCTATTGACATGCGTAGTAATCGGCATAAAGGAAGAAGTTGATAGATACTCTAGAGTCTGTAGATTTGGTAAGGCAGAGTCTGAGTTTCGTTTCTGCCCTTATTGTAACTCTAGTTGCCACCCCTGTATATCCAATTCGGGTCACATTTCTCGTCTTTGACAGTTACTATGTCCGCGTTGTTGCCTGGAGATTCGGCGTGGCACAAGTCAAAGAGTTTTAAAGCTGCCAGGGAACTCGATGGTACACAGCACCAGACCTACGCATATTAGTTATCTATGGAGGGTATGTTTTAGGGGAAAAAAGACTTCTTACTTTACGGTATCGATGAGCACGTCTTTCTCCAGGCTTCTTGACGCTATACCAACCATCGTATGAGTGTCCTGGACCGACAACTTCTCCGCAGTGTTGTGCAGTGTCGGCATAGTTACAAGTAATAAGGCTCCCAGTGCGCTCAGCATAGCATAATGGGCCGAGAGAAGTAAGAAGAAACGCAATTGAGGTGGATAAGAGCATCTTCGTAAGTGGATAGAATGATTGCAATATGTCGGATGTAGGACAGGGCAGAAGAGAGGAAGAAGGTTGTTGTATTGAGAGAGCTACAGAGAGCGATTATATACACAACCAAGATGAATAAGCAGGTGACGAGGAGTCACGTGAGATACAGTTTACAGTGTACCAGGTGAACCGAGGTGCCAGGCTGACACAATAGTCTGTACGTAAAGCAGGACCTTGGCATATATTTATACCTTGTACAGTCTCAAAGAGCTAAAAGGATTTAGAAAGGGCCGATAGGTAATCTTGTAAAATGTGTCTCACGCCGCTACACCTGCACGGAATTGATATCCCCTGTGACTACATAAGCCCTAAGCATGGGTTTGGCTGTTGACATGAAGGATCATCGTGTGTGTTCGGGCTAATTGACAGGGTACACATCGTGTTGCTGACTTGTGCTCTTTTCTGGGGAGACGCTGACGTCTAATTATGTCAGCCTGTCAAATATATACCTTCAAGCTATAATAGCAAGAAGGTCGGGCTTTTTGTTATTCCACAAATTATACAGCGTTGTGCATTGCTTCGCGAACAGTGAGAGGGTGCTCGGGCCGACATAAGCATCCCACTCCTGTCTTACAAGTCTGGGCAACTTAGCGGGAGTGCCGGATAGCTGGCGCAAGTATGTATGTACGAAAAGCCCGACGAAGAGGCCGGGGTGATGAATGGGCAGATACTACCGCAGCGAGAGAAGATGTGCTTTCTTGCTTATTGACTACCGTGGTATCTCACCAACATTACGCCAAGCTGCGCGTCGCAAGAAAATCCCTCTGTGCCGGGAACGGCCGATCGCATCCAAGGTGTGTTATCTCTTCATCACCCTGCGGTGCATTTAGTTATTGTCGGTATACCTGCTGAGTTATTCCTACCGCACGGCTACATTGTAGGACCCTTAGTCTCAAAATGTACCAGCGCTTAGTAGGAGTTCTTAGATAATGAGTAGTTCTGACTGTATTACCTAGGCATTGCTTGGTATTGCACGTATAACACCGTCAAGGCAGAGTAGGAAGCTTATGTCTATATACAAGAAATAGCTATTGCGTGTCATCGTGGTTTTCGGGTTAGTCTTCGAGTTCTTTAGCCAAGTCCATGTCGCTATCAGAGGACCATAAGCATAACTCACAAGTCAGCTGTTGCTAGCGATCGGATAGGAGTAGAAAAAAGATGTGTACTTTTCCTCTCTTCTCCTATAGCAACTACCATTATGCGACGCGCATCTGTAACGCTGTAAGACTCTAAGGCTGCCTCGTCTCAACAGCAATGCCGGGTCGAATATAAACCCGCAGGCCTACCCTAGTCCCTAGAGAAACGGTTCACGTCCGTCCCTAGGTGCTGGAAAACGCTGTGGGGCAAGAATTGAAGACTTCACAAGGCCATCTTCCTGCCCAACAGAACCTCCAGACGACACGTTCCCGACACCGGGGTGACGTTTTATTTGATTGAATTGCCGTATAGCCGAGCTGAACACGAGGCCCAAACACGAGTTCCCAACAGGATGTGTAGCGTGTTAGTAGACCCGAAATAAGGCGCGAACACGAGTTACCAACACGACGTATAGCTGGTTAGTTGACCCAAACACGAGTTACCAACACGATGTGTAGCCAGCCAGTTGGCCGGAACACAATTACCAACACAATGTGTAGCCGATTAGTTCGCCCGAACACACAAGATACCCTTTATGTCAAGAGCTATACCCATACTTATCGCTTATTGAGTCAAGCTAGGTCCTTGCTACCGGGGTGAATACTGTGGTTGCAGGGGACATCACCTGCATACCTGTGTAGAGGTGTGAGAAATATTCTACAAGATTACTTTTCCGTCCCTTTCTACATCCTGCCTAGCCGCGAGCCAACTTAGCTCTCTGGATTGCACAAGATATAAATACATACAAAGGTCCTTCTTAAGTACAGACTATCACAATCATTCTATCCACTACCGAATCTCAACCAGTCTATCTACAACCGAATCTCAATCATTCAATTCACCTACGAATATGCTTTTATTCACCCTCACTGCGTTTCTTCTTACTTCCTTCAGCGGCTTATGCCATGCTCAAGTTAAGGGGAATGCCATCCGCTGCGGTCAGGACGATAAGAGCGATCAGGACACTAGAAATTTCTGCCGGTTCATGTTCACTTCAGACCGCACACTGAAGATCAATGGAGAGGTAAGAAGTTTTTTTTTCTCCTGCAATATGCACTCTTTTAGTACTTCTATATTACAACACTAGTTTTACGCATTTTTATATATGCACAGAGGCATATCACCTATTTTGATCTTCCTAGATCTATAGTACCCTAACCATCTACACAAATTTTGTACAAGTAACTAAAAAGCATAGACTTGGTGCTGCTTACCACCTCATCCTAAGTTCCCTTTACAGTTCTTCGATCTATGCTACCGAGATCACAAAATCGCTCCTATCGTTCACGTACAAGACGAAAAATGTGATGTTACTGGGTATTAGAAAAAGTAGAAGGAGAAGCAAGAGGAGGAGACTAAGAACTAGTTTCGCGGCAATGCGAGGGTCAAACTTATAGGCAATTACGCCGGAAAGGTCATTGACATCTACTTTAATAGGGAGATCTTTGGCTGTGGTGCGGCATTGATATGGCAAAAGATGATTGTCGAACCTATTGCCCATGTCGATGGTGTGCAGACGGCTATCTCGAGCTGGACTTTCAATCAGGTCTTTCCCTAGGTTGTGGAAGTTGGAAGCTGTTGCAACAAAGCTTGTTCCTTCTCTTCATAAGGGTATGAGTGGAAAAGCTCTATAGAGCTCTCGTCAAAATCATGTAATTTGTTATTTTCCTATTTAGTTATGTTTTTGTTTAGTCTATAAAAAGGCCTATTAGCTCTTATTCCATAGATAGTAGCGTCATAATGCATGTTGTAATTATCGCTCAGGTTATTCTTCTACCACTATGGTAGATATTGTTGTGGTCGTGTGCATATCTAAGAAGACAATCGATTACATAATTTTGACGAAAGTGTCGGATCGTGAGTATCGGTAGAGACGTCGGCTGCTTGACACTTCGGCCCGACTTCGGCCCACCTTGCGCAGAGCTTAGGTATACCTTCGTAGCAGCTATGTTCGTAGACAATCAATCAGAATCACCGAACAGAATGCATTACTAGTTATCGTTATTTCCCTTTACGCAATTAGTGCAAAGCCAACCAACAGAAAGTTCTATTGAATATTTTCATTCTTACCTCATCTCAGAAGAATAAGACGTCGCACCAGTTCGCGACAACAGTGGTACGGATATCACTGCTAGAACAGGATACAGAGGGTGCTTATGCAAAGACGTGTGCAGCGCTTGCTAATGCATAGGGCCTTAGATCTGGCTGGCGCAATACAAGCAAAGATATGGACTGTCACTAGAAGGAACGACAAGACAGCGCCGCATCTACCGTGCGAAACATCTATCTAAGAGATGAGGAGACTAAAAGTACTAGAGAAGGTAGGTCATCGGCATGCAACCGAGGACCCGGAGAGTGTAGCAAAAGTTCTTGAACCCCTCCTCTGAGCATAGACTACAACGGGCAGGTCAGCTAATCAGGGTTGCCAACAACAAAGTACCTGCACCTAGTATACACGCCTTTATCCAGCATGCCCTCCTGCGTCATCCAGTCCATCCGCATCGAAAGCTTAGTCCTCAAAAATAAGCTTCGACAAGCCGGTACGGACCGATTTGTTTCGCAGCCGAACCTGCGACACGAAACGCCCCTTTGTCGTCTCACGGCCGTCTCTGGTTATATTAGCCCGCAGCGCATGCGCGAACGAGATCAGACAAGCTATGCCGAGAGAAGCAAGAGTTCTAAGCATCACATCTAAGATTGGTAGTTCCGTTGGACGAAAGTCACTTGTCTCGCCAGTAGGAAGCCGACGCTTCGCAAGGGGGGGTTTGCTACTGACGTGCAGACTGTGAGAGGATGCTGACGGGCGGAAGTATGATGACAGTATACGGATATCTTTCGTCGGTCCGACACGGGTGGTGGGTGGGAGGTGGAGTGATTGGAAGAGTGAACGACGCCACGAAAGTATAAGATACGTGGGATCGTCGCTGTGTATCTTAGGCATCTCAATCTAATTTCCAACAACTGTCTTTTACTACTCACCCGGTGTGAGCCTTTCGCTTTTCTTCTTTGCTATTCTCGATTCCCCACTTTTTCCTAAATTTTAATTCGTTCACTCCATACCAAACGAAACCACTCATTCATCAAGATGAAGACCTTTGCCATCCTCGCACTCATCGCTGGCTTCGCATTTGCCGCTCCTGCCGCTCCTGCCAAACCTGGTTGCGCTGATGCTGCTGCTGCTGCTGCCGGTAACAGCACCTTGACTGGCGCCAGCTGCGCCGAGGCTCGTGCGAAACTCGTCGACGGAATCAAAGCCAACCTCAATATCCAGGCCCAGGAATTGAAAGGGTGCGTAACTCCAACAACTCCTTCCCTTGGCTACCACTGATCCCATTCCAGAATCCAGTGCCTGCAAAAGGAAGAGGGAACTGCGGGTTTCAAAGCTGAGCAAGCTTCCGTCCTCAAAATCCAGCAAAAGGGTATCGAGATCCGCGCCAACAACCAGAAACTCGCCAAGGAAATCAACAGCCCAGCTGCTGCTGGACTCGACATCGTCGCCGGCGCACAGGTCAAGGAGATGATGCAGGTTATGAGTTTGAACGGAACGGCGAAGGCTGATGATGCGACTTTGAAGATGTTGGTTCAAGAGGTAGAGGATGGCACCAAGCAGAACGAGAAGAATCTGGCAGAGGCCAAGAGCACCAAGTGCTAGAAAGAGATGAAGAATCTGGGTATGCGTTGATGTGTATTGTACGATAGTCCTGGTGGCAGTACGAGAGAAAGCATGAGAGGTATCCACGCGCAGTCTGTATCGTAGACATAGTACCTAATAATCTTACTCCATGTCCGAACGTTGAATCCTTGTTAGAGTTCTCTTCCTCCGCATTCACGGTCTTTCAGCGATGGTTTTTGGCTGGGTGTCTACCGCCGGCATAGCAGTGCAATACCCGATGGACGCCTGATCTGTGCTACCGACATGGATGGCTAATAAACACGAAAGCCGGTAGCGGATGCCGGAGACCCAGGGTGGTGGTCAACGGCTGGAGGAGAGGTGGAGCATGGTGGGGAAGGCCGGGCGGTGAGTTGGGGTTTGGGTGGGAGCCGGCGGTCTGTGCGCGCCTCGAAACACTGGTAAGGACGGCAGGGATGGATAAGTTCTTTCTCATGGCGAATATCTCGTTTCATAACTCCTGTGACGACGACGACGACTCTGTGCAGCTCATATGCAAAACATTGGAGAAAGCAAAAGTACCTGCAGCTGTCTGTGTGGATGTGGACGGCGCCCTGCTCCGTGGGGCGCGTGTTCGGCGTCCGGCGTCCAGCGCCCAGACTGGCCCAAATCAGCCTTCACCACAGTCAGGCCCGCGGCGAGTCATTGCGCAGGCAGAGATTTGAGGCGACAATGGTGAAGACGAAGTCTATGACGATCAAGTCGCGATGCTTCTCGTGTCGCATCGGTTCGAAGAGTCCGGTCGGTCCATTTCACCTTGTTCAGCCCGGGCCACGACACGTGTGGTTTGTCCACTGTCGGCGATCAGTCTGCATGCTGCATTGCGGCGCAGGCGAGTCTGATAGCAAAGCCCCAGAGGTATCAAGAGATAGGACAGGCCTTTAGCCTTCTGCGTGCCCGACATGCCACAGAAACTACGGCCATGTCGTCGTCCGCAAAAAAACCACATATGGCGGGCCTGTCAGCACCTGGGCAGCATCACTCCCTGCGTTTGTCATTCGCTTGCTGGATCCTTGTCCCGTGTGTCGTCCCATGTCCGCTGTGTTCTTATCGACCTTCCACCTGGTCACCCCCCCGGTCGCAATTTGACAGCGGCCGCTTTCGGAGGTACGGAAGCCCTTCGAGGCAAAAGGCCCTTCCTCCCTCTGCCAGCCATGGCGGGAACATGCACCTCGAATCGCCATAGTCGTGGTGGTGTGGTGATTGGGGCGATCCGAGCCATGTATTCGTTGCCATGCCGCTTGCCACAACGAGATGCTTTCCGACACCCGGATTGACGTGCTGTACCACAATCAAAGTCCGGTGTTGGCCCCGCTGACGCCTCATAACATCACCTTCTGCTGCCTGCCCCGAGCTGAACAGCTACATATTTACTCTCGCGTTGGACCGCGTTATCTGTCTGCGCTTCACTGGAAATGATCATCAGCTTACTGCAACTGCCGCTGGATACGCGACACAGTCCCTGTACCAAGATCAACAACCACGCCGTCGATAGATCTGGACCCTACCTACGTAGCTCGCCGAGATGAGCGCCAGAACGCTGACCAACGTTGTAAACGACCAGACCGTTACCTTGAACGCTCTCATCTATGGATATGCCGGACACAGTCTTGTCACTCCACAGCATGCACTGCAACAGATATGGTGGACCGAGGAAAGAATAAACGAAAAGGTCACAACCGACTTTGTTACCTCGCGATTGCAGCCTTCCGAAAGGGAGCGTCTTCACCAGCCTGTTGGCTTTGGTGATTTGAGCGATGACACATACATGGAGTGGATAATGGACAAGGCGAGACGGTTATTCCTGGTGCTTGTCGAAATTGGCGAGGCGGATAGAATATTCAACGTGGTCGATAAATCATGGGATGATGACGATCTACCCCTCCAAATGGATGACATTGAGCAGCTTTCGCTCTCGAATCGACGCGACAACCGTGCCAATGTTCGCTTCTACCACACTCAATTTACCTTCCTCCTGCGAGAGCTACGAGAAGGCATTCATATCGACTATGCCGCAAACGAGGAAGTCCCAGTCGAGAACGTCATGGCTCTTCCTATAGCCGTAAATCTGCAACCATGGTCGCGTATTCATCTGCCCAAGAAACCTACCAAGATTTATATGCGCAGACGATTTCCCCTGGGCAATGCCGAAAATCCAGATGCGTTTAGGGAGGATTTCATCCTGGACGTGGAAAGTGCGAGGATGGTCGAGCACGACCACTTGGCACCTGTATGGGCATCCTATACCGCCAAAGGTTATGGTTATATCGTCTCCAACTTCGTCGGACACCATACTCTGCGCACATTTATCGACCATCGCAAACCATCGCAATACCAGGCGCTGCCGAAACCCGATCGCAGATGGCTGGTTCTCAATTGGCTGCATTGTTTGGCTGATGCAGTGGCAACACTCCATCAGAATGGCTTCTGTCACTCCGCAATCCGGCCTTCCAACATTCTGATTGACGAGCAGAATGGCATTGCCTTTGGCGATATTGGCAGCTTGGAGACGTTCCAGAAAGACAAGAAGCCTGATGCCATGGACGCCTATGTCTACAGCGCGCCAGAAGCACATCTCACCTCACAATCCATGGAAACAGTGACGTTGCCAACCAGCCCCGCTTCACCGACTACCCGACACGCTTCTGTGATTAGTAAGAGCTCTTCCGGATCTTCGAATAGTGGTAGCTCACAGCGCCAAAAGCTCACCAAGACGCATACCGGTGATTTCTCAGGCTTCAATTTCGGTTTCAAGAAGGCACAGCCGGTACCCAAGTTGCGCTCGCGAAAGCACGAGACGGAAAAGGCCGATGTTTTCTCTCTGGGTTGTGTCTTTGTGGAAATAATCACATTCATGATGAAGAAGAAGCCCCACGACTTTACCAAACACCGCACGTCGAAGCAAAAGACGACCATCGGCGGCAAGATCTCAAGGACAGATTCCTCTTTTCATATCAATCTGGAAAAGGTTGATACGTGGATGAACATACTTGAAAAGGCGTCATTCGAGCAGGACGATGACGCATTCCGCGCAGTCCCTCATGTGCTGAACCTCGTACGCAGCATGATTAATGAGGCGCCCACGGTGCGCCCAGCCATGAGTGATGTCCGCGACAAACTATACGACATTCTTTCCAATCACACCCCCATACCCAATATCCACTGTGGTGCGCCAAAGCACGACGTCGGTATCGCAACATCATACTCGGATTCGGACAGAGCGTCAAGCATAGCCTCGCTGCGGACCATGTCTACCATAAGTTCGAGCAGCTCAGATGCGGATACAATTCGGTCAGGCACGACGCAGGTAAGCTCGATCGTCAACTCCTACTCCGATCGAACCACGCTGTATGAAATTGAGGAAGATGACGGCGCTTCAATACGAACGATAGAGCCATCCAAAACCACACCGCCAAATATCCAAGCATTATACGAGTCTCCGAGGAGGGCACCCATGCCACCTGGCTCACCAACTTCTCCACGATCTCCGCGGTCCCCAACAACACCCGTGTTCGCACGTCCTGGTAGCCCATCGAGACCGAGCTCGTCTTCTGTGAAGGTGAAACCGTGGAACAAACCGTTTGTTGTAATGCCTTGAGCTCATACGCATGTCTCAACGCTTCACCAGCTGGGCCTCGCAAGCCATCGCCTTTCACGTGTCCACGGCCGCATGTTGGGTCGCAGCAAACAGAATGTGGGGGATCTAGTACCAAGACCCGGAACTGCGGGGTTCAAAGTCGCAGTAATATCCTTGGCAAGTGAAAAAGGAAGGTCGCTTGTGGCCCCGGAGAGGTGGATGTACCTTGAATAACTAGCTTAGGTAATAGACTGTGCATGTGGGAACAGGGCTTCGGGATTTAGACTCTACGGCTCACAGGCCGCTGGGCTTGGCTACAAAGTAGTATGAGACATGTCGCGCACGTCAAGAAAGTCTTGTGAGCAAAGTCTTAGTGCAAAGGTGGGGAGACGTGGCAGGGCATCACAAAGAGACACAAGTCTACGTGTGTTGGGATTGTACGACGACGACATGGGGTGGTAACGTAAGGAAGTTAAGATACACCGCCCAAGTCACTACGTGATAACCCACTTTGAAAGTGGGCGATAATGAGAGCACATTCGAAATGCCAATGCTGCGGGAACTTGGTTATCGCTGAAACTTTGCTAACTTACTAACATAGCTTCCTTTGCGCAATGCGACAACCTTGAAAATTCACAACAGAAGACATGCACTTTGCTTACATCATGTTGCGCGCATGGATATTCAGTTACACAACAACACATAATTACACGGCAAGGCTGGACCGGCCACGGCCTTTTCGTGATGCATGGATTGTGTGCAGAGCCCTTGCAGGGCATCATCGGCCCTACATCGTCATCATCATCTCTCTTACGGTGTCTCTCCTGGCGATTGCCCGGTAGTGTTCCTAGGCTAATGGTCCGGTCTTATTTGGGCCGGGCCGTGCGGGGAAATACATTCGAGCCAAGGCGCACATCACAGCTGATCAACATGTCAAGGCTCAACATCTGCATCTGACGCCATGCAGATGATGATGCCAAGTACTGGTATGCACCCGAACTGCCTTCCCCCTGGAGAGCCACAACGTGCTGAGGTCATGTCGCGGCAACAACGTACAACAGCCTTGCAATCGCATCCCATCTATTGTTTACGGGGTCAGGCGGGCCATACATCAATTCATCACGAGCAGACCACACCCTCCGCCGAGCGTCCTCAATACTGCAGTGATCGACAAAAGCGTGCAGCCGCCAGGATCCTCCCGCCGCTATCCCCATAGCCAAGTGCTGCTTAGCCAGCATAGTATCCCTTCGACTATGCTGATTTGATCGCATCCAAAGCTCAAATACTCCTTGTTTCTCTTTATCCTTTTCTATTCTTCCATGGTATCTCGCATACGCGTCTAATTACTGCAGCCCGAGGTGCAGCAGCAGCCGTATATCAATATGCGGCTCTCTATCGGTGTCATATCTAGCTTTCTCGCGTTGACGGCTTTTGCTTCGAAGATCCGTCCCCGTCAAAGCAACAGTACAGATTACAAGCTTGGTTTTACACCGCTTAAGACTGAGTGGACAGACACGGTAGGAACAAATCCATGGCCTGAATATCCGCGCCCACGCCTCCAGCGGCCCGATTGGAAGAACCTAAACGGCGTCTGGCGGTATAGCAATACGACGAATGGGTCGGATGCGTCGCCGCCGTTTGGACAGCAACTGCAGAACGCCGTATTGGTTCCGTTTTGTCTGGAAAGTGCCCTCTCGGGTAAGTGATATGCCAAGTCTCATTTATGAGTATGTCGACTAATTCGATACAGGTGTCACGGGTAAAGGCCGCTACTGGAGTTGGTACCAGACAAGCTTTGATGTGCCGTCTGCTTGGCCCAGCACGAATAACGTCATTTTAAACTTTGGCGCCGTCGACTATGAAGCTACATTATTTGTGAATGGCAAGAAGGCTGGGTTCCACAGAGGCGGGTATCTTGAATTCAGCGTCGACGTGACGCCATATCTAAGTACCAATGGTACCAATGAGCTGTAGGTTGATGAATGCTTTGTTGGTTTCGATGCTAACGAAAAACACAGTCTTGTGTACACGTACGATCCTACAGACCTGAATTTGATTCAGATTCCCATCGGAAAGCAAAGTTTGACCCGCGGTGGAATCTGGTACACGCCATGCAGTGGTATTTGGCAAACCGTGTGGCTCGAGACAACGCCCAAAGAGTACATTACAAAACTTGATCTAACAGCAGACATGGACGGCAATGGTACTTTATTCCACACTCGATTATTCGCTGATACTAACATCTCCAAGTCAACGTGACGGTACATAGCAGTAGCAATTCTACTCGCACCTCATACGACATAACCGTTCATGAATTGGGCTCGACTGATGCCAAAACGACCGCCACCGGTACCAGCGGTACACCTTTTGTCTTTACTGTTGACTCTCCGGATCTATGGACCCCCGATACCCCAACCTTGTACAACATCACGGTTAAAATGGGTAGTGATACGGTCCAAAGCTATACCGGATTTCGAACCGTCTCGAGAGGTGTGATCAACGGCGTACAGCGGCCGCTCCTGAATGGAGATTTCATCTTTTCCTTTGGAACGCTCGATCAAGGTTTCTGGCCAGATGGCATCTATACCCCTCCGAGTGTCGAAGCCATGGTATACGATTTGAAAGTTTTGAAAAGAGTCGGGTACAACATGGTCCGCAAGCACATCAAAGTCGAGCCAGCGTTATTCTATCGAGCCTGTGATGAGATGGGAATCTTGTTAATCCAGGACATGCCATCTCTGCGACCCGACTTACCCGGTGGCCGCCGACTAGATCCATCAGCACAGTTTGAATTCGACAGACAACTAGGACTCATGGTCGAGCAACTCAAATCCTACCCCAGCATCTTCGCATGGACCATCTACAACGAAGAATGGGGCCAAGCGACCAGCGCTCCATGGCCTGAATTCAGACTGACAGAGTTGGTCCGCAGCCTCGACCCAACCCGTCTCATCAACGCCGTCAGCGGCTGGACGGACCACCGCGCCGGCGACTTCGACGACAACCACCACTACGCCACGCCCCAATGCGGAACACCATTCTGGTCGCAACAAGGCGGCGGCTTCGACTCAGCGTACGACAGTTCGCGAATCGGGCTGCAAGGCGAATTCGGCGGCGTCGGCACCCTCGTCACCGACGACAATTTCACGCATTCGTGGTTTAAATCCGTGGACAGACAACAAGCGTACGAGTTCGCAAACACGACGGCCGTGTGGAACTACCGCGGTCATGTTCTCTTACGTGAACTGCGCGAGCAGGTCGACATGTTTGCGTGCTCGGGCGGCGTGTGGACTCAGACTACGGATGTGGAGGGCGAGGTCAATGGCATGATGACGTATGATAGGAAGGTGATTCGCATGAATGAGACGATGTGGAAAGAGGATATTCAGGCTCTGTATGATGCTGCTGAGAAGCGGGCGCATAATATGACGGTGCTGATTAGCGAGAGTGCGATGATCGGGGTTGGACAGCGCGTGGTATGATGGCATACCCTGCAAGTTCGCGGCCTGTGTGGTACGATCACCGCGCGATTGGGGAAAGCCGGGGGTGAAAGTTTATTCTTCATGGTACTCGTACTGTTTTACTCTTATTCTTAATAGCTGTTTGTTATACATATACATGACTTCGGGGTATGCGCACACCCTCGGACTCCGGACTCTTGCCGCTGCCCAGAAAAGTCCGGAGATCCGAACATGCGTATTCCCCCATCAATCATATCCTATTTTCGAAACCCAAGCCGCGTAGTCACTACGCATATCGCATAATTACACACACACCCCAATCGACTAAACCACCCCTCTCATCTGCAGCCCCCGCCACTCATCCTCCAACATACCCAGCGTAACCGAATCCCACCACCTGCCCTCAAACCACACAGCCTCCCTCTCTCGCCCTTCCATGATAAAGCCCAACTTCTCGTACAGCCGTATGGCGCCCATGTTCCAGCCAAAGGCGCGCATGCGCATGCTGTGCAGGCCCGCGCGGCGGAACGCGTAATCCATGGCCCAACGAATGGCCTCCGAGCCGTAGCCGTAACCCCGGTACTGCGGCAGGATGTCGATACAGACGTCGGTGGTGCGGTGGTGCTGCTCGTGGGGGGCGGGTCCGCGGAGGTGCAGGATGCCGATTGCGGTGCCGAAGTTGGGGTCTGTGATGTCGTCGCCTTGTTTACGGCGGGTTTGTAGTTCTTGTTCAACTTCGGAGGTGGGTGTGGGGGGGAGCCATAGTATTACGGCTAGGAGGGCGTCTTCGGTGGTTTCTTTGAGGAACTTTTCTGCTTCGTCGGGGCTGGGGGGTTTGGCGTTTGCAAAGGTTGTGTTTGCGAAGCCCGGGACGTCGTTTACGAGGAGGTCGAATATGGCCGTGTCGGTCAGGCGGATGGCGCGGTAGTGGATGCGGGCGCTTTGGAAGGATGGTCTTGGGGTAGACATGTGCATAATTTTTGGTGGTGATGGTGATGACGACGTGGAGGAGGGAGGAGTATTTGAGTTTGAAATTGATGATAGAGACATGAAATATGCGGTCCAGCCGAAGAGTAAAGAAAGGCTTTGGGTGGTGATGATGTTGCACCTTGGACACAAATATCTAATTGTCTACTTAGTTATTGCGTTCATAGTCAACGTCATGCAGCCTTATGTATTGAGGGAGATGTGAGGATTGTGGAGCCAATACCAAGCCGGCTACGGACTTTGGTGTTTCAGCGCTTTTCGCTCTTTACCGACTCGTGTTTCCCATGGGCCAGAATGGAAAGTACATCGAGATCTTTTGGTAGCAGAATGTATACGGCACTCGATTCGATACGTGGCATCGTGGCGTAAATGCATTAACTCTCACACTTTCACACTTGGTTGTTCCTTGGTGGTACATTTGCCATGGGGCGTTGGGTATAGTTATACATGATTGATCCGACATGTGAAATAGCATCGTTGACTGAACAATGAGTATCAAGTTGGACTGTTACGACGTCGGGTTCGCCCGTGCTCTTACAAGGAAATCTCGCCTCTCCATGTACCCTCAGTCAAGCCAAGCATGGCAATGCAGTGCTGCCACCTCGGACCACCTCTCTCCTTCCTCCTCAGATATTGCAACAACTTCTGTCTCCTATGAACCAGCAACCGCAAGTTCCGCTTGTTGTGCATGTCATTCTTCCCTCGCGACTGCAAAAAGTCCGCAAGCGTCTTGATTTTGGCGGTGAGCAGAGCAATTTGCACCTCTGGTGATCCAGTATCTGGTCCAACGCGCTTAGCTGCCGCAGCAATGTTTGTTTCCGGGCGAATAGTGTGCGCTTGGTCAGCTCCAGATCGGCTTAGTGAGGGTGCCTTTGGCGGAAATATCCTGTCGGTGTTGTGGCGTCCAAAGGTTTCAACGCAGCGCGCAATGTTGGCACGCATGCGGTCCTTACTCGATCCATTCTCCAACGCTGTAATGCGTGCAATAGCCTCTACAGCACGTGCATGGTTTTTCTTGTTTTGCTCCTCCACCTCCTCAACCGACTTCTCAATCGCATCTGATTCGCGGTAGTTGATGGAATTGCCCCATGGGTAAGTCGCTGTCGTGTCTTGCGGTTTGATCTCACTTAGTGGTACAGCTAGCGTCTCGCTCTTCTTCAGTTGCTTCTCGACAGTGCTGGGGTCGAAGGCGTAGTTCAGATGGATTCGCTCCTCTGGTGTAATCTTTCTCTCATCACGAGCAACTGGTTTTGCAGTACCAAACGACTCGACGAAGGGAGTTGGGACACCGCGGACTGGGTCTCCGAGGCTGGCTATCCGTTCTCGCTCGAGTTCGGCGCGGCGTGTCAAGTTGGCTGCCTTCTTCTGGTTTCGCTGCGCAATGATGTAGGGGTCGTTCGCCAGGCGCTTCTTCCGGCGTTCCTCAGATTCTGCCTGTAAACGGGCGGTAGAAACAAAAGTTCGAATGGGGAGGGTGAATTGGGATGCGATTGACGATGCTAGGTCGCGATTAGTTGGGATATGTTGATGAATATGTATTCAGCATGCACATACAAGTCGACGCCCGCAGGCACGACAGTGGTGGTATTCGAGGTGGCATGGCTACGCTACGCTGTCGCTGCCATGCCACCATGAACGTTTTGCGGATCCAAGCATCAAGCCCGGCGAAAGAGTTTTACCGATGCCGACCGTTCGGAGGTGCCACAGTCACGCTATCCCAATTCAGGTTAGCGACTCCCACTGACGATACGATAATCGATAATCATGTTCGATATTCGACAATTCGCACGTCGGTTCCTTGAAGTCTTCTCTCCCACGCAACACCACAACTTCTCGTCTCCAACACCAGCTTGCACAGCGCCAAAACCGTCAAAATGGCTCCTTCCAACCTCCCTGCAATCTTCAACCCCACCCAGCAGGACATTGAGATGCTCCTCGCTGCCCAGTGCCACCTCGGCGCAAAGAACCTGCAGGTGCACATGGAGCCTTACCTGTGGAAGACCAGGCCCGACGGTGTCAATGTCTTGAACATTGGCAAGACGTGGGAGAAGATTGTCCTTGCCGCGCGTATCATCGTCGCCATCGACAACCCGGCCGACAGTATGTTGAATTGGGCGCAGTTGGACTAGGCGCATTTTGACTGACACGCTGAATAGTCTGTGTCATTTCCGCCCGTCCCTACGGACAGCGTGCCGTCCTCAAGTTCGCATCGCACACCGGTGCCACTGCCATCGCTGGTCGTTTCACTCCCGGTAACTTCACCAACTACATCACCCGCTCGTTCAGGGAGCCCCGCCTCGTCATTGTCACCGACCCCCGCACCGACGCTCAGGCTATCAAGGAAGCTTCCTACGTCAACATCCCCGTCATTGTAAGCGGCCTCTTTGCGAAGATAACGACTTGGTAACTAACACTGAATAGGCCCTTTGCGACGGAGACTCACCCACCGAGTACGTCGACGTTGCCATCCCCACCAACAACAAGGGACGCCACGCCATTGGTCTCGTCTGGTGGATGCTCGCCCGTGAGGTCCTCCGCCTCCGTGGAACCCTCGCTAACCGCGAGACTGAGTGGGACGTTATGACTGATTTGTACTTCTACCGCGACCCCGAGGCTGAGGAGAACAAGGACAGCGCTGGCGTTGAGGAGGCTAAGGTGCCTGGTGCGGACGAGGTCGGCCCCGCCGCTGTCGCCGATGGCTTCACCAGCGAGTGGGAGGTCTCTGGCGCCTCTGCCGGTGCTTTCACCGCCCAGGCTGCTGCTGCCCCTGGCGCCAGCTGGGACGCTGACACCACCGACTGGGCTGCGTCTGGTGAGGCCCAGACCGGCAACGAGGGCTGGGGTACCGAGGCCGCTGCCCCTGCTGCCACTACTCAGTGGTAGATGTCATGTTGGACGCATTTGTCAATCCTTCTCTTACATACCCTGTCTTTGACAACGCACTGGCATGTCGGCGTAGGAGTGAAGGAAAAAGGGAGAAGAAAAAAAGGAAAATATGAGAACCATTTGACAAATTCTCGGCAGTCTTCATGATTTCATGGCATCGAGGTGTGTTGAGGGATATGATCTTATGCTGCGCGCTTATGAGGGAAAGATATCCATGCTTCTTGTGAGAGGTATGGGGGAAAGCCCTGTGCTGGCGATCGGGTTGTACTTAATTGACGCCCAGTCCTTCAATGCAAACCTTGCTCTTGTGTCTAACATTGTATTGAGTGATGGGTGCTTGAATCTATTGTGCGCGTGCTGCTTGATGTTTGTGTCCTTTGGGTGTCATGTCGTAGATGAAATTAGGGTATATGTACCAAGTAAGTAAACTAACCCCTCCCTTCTCAAACTCGCCTTTTTAGCCTAGATGCAAATGTGTAACTAACTGCTTCAAGTCCTGACCATGTACATGAAAAGAAAGTGAAAAACTCATCTCATTCCTCCATCCATCCGTCCATTATCGTATCATGATAGTCGTAAACCATATGGGGCAGGTATGTATAGCGGGAGTGCGCGTACCGTACCTCCAAGAAAAGCAAAAGTTCGTCTGGAAAAGTTGTGCGCAAGCGGGTGGGTTTACAACCACGCAAGGACGCCCATGACGGCAGCAAACACTGCACCCACGCTCTTGAGCTCCATACCCAACCCACCAGCTGCGGCGCCCGTAGACGCTGGAGCAGATGTCTTCGCGCCAGTGCCTGAGCCGGACTCCTTCGCGCCGCCCTGGGTACCGCTACCGCTCGTCGGCGTAGCGCTGAAACTACCAGACGTAGGACTCTCATTGAAATCGTGTTTCTGACCGAGTGTAGGAAGGGGCGAGCTAGGATTAACTTCCCAAGCGCCAGACGTGTAAGCGGGACAAGCGACAGGCGTCTGCGTGGGACTGTAATCGGAAGCTTTGACACCGGTGGGACTGAGTGTCGCCCAGACTTTAGACAGGTTACCAAAGTCCGGTTCAACAGGGCTTGGTTTGCCTGAGCGGGGGAAACCATCAGGTGGTGCAGAGGGACTTGCAGCGTCGACTTTGGGCCCGTAGCTGATGATGCCGTAGTTGTTCATCTCTTCGATCCACTCGTAGACTATGCTGCCGGACCAGACGTCTGCCATTTCGCCAAACAGGGCGTTTTGGTCGGCAAAGTCGCGCGGGCGGACCGTGTTGCAACCGGTTTCTGACATGAAGATAGGGATGTGCAGATCCTCGGAGTTCTTCTCTAGCATGTTGTAGCCGCTCTGTTCGTAGGTGCTTTGGCCGCACCAGGAGTAGGCGTTTAGGCTGAAGAAGTCGAGACGGTCGTCGGCGTTGGTGCCGCACGCGAGGTAGTTTTGTAGCATTGGGCGGAGGCTTGCGATGTCGGCGGCGGAGTAGCCGATGGGGATGTTGCGGTAGCCTTTCTTGTCGCGGTAGGCTTTCATGTCGCGCGTGGCGGCTTTGATGTAGGGGGCTGTGACGGAGCCGTTGGCTGTGGTGATGGCTTCGTTGCCGATGAAGAATCCGGCTACGTTGTCGAATTGCTCAAAGGCGTCCATGACTTTGGCGAAGGCGTCGCGTTGGTCTGTCTCCCACCGAGGTGTGTTTTGCTCCACTTGGGTGTCGAAGGTATCAAGGTCGACCCAGAGGTAGACTAGGCGGAGTGTTAGCTAACTGTATGCCAAACCCATTTCATGGAGATATGTGGTATACATACTTCCAGCATCTGCGAACGTCTTCATGCATTCGGTATGGTCCGCATCGGGGTCGACGTGGTAGACACGGATTGAGTTTGCGCCGAGCGTCTTCATGAGCGCAGAATCGAGACCGCATTGCGTCGCGTCGATGAGAGGATCGTCAGGAATGAGCTGGTATGCAATACCTACACTCGACTGTCAGCAATTGTATCCTGTGATTTGTAGAGCACAAGCCTCGCGTTACTTACCCTTGACGTAGAACTGATTGCCTTCGCTAGTGAAGAGCTTGGAGCCCTTGACCTCGATAGTAGGCACGGCCGACACAATAGCGCTCAAGCCTGCAAGCAGAGACAGCGATAGAAGATGAACCATGTTTGCAATGGGTAATTGAAAGTAAGAGTGAAGAAGTGGGCTTCCTGGCAGCTTTTCTACGTTGTTGCTGCGCGACTAGACGCGAGGCGGGTAACTAGAAACTTTGGTTCGCGATAGCTCTCCACAGAAAAGTGGCTGAACAAGTGATGACACTAACTAGCTCGAGCCGCTCTTTTGGGATATGCGTCGTGCAGAAACGAACGAAACTGCGCTGTGGCCAAAGTGTGCGCGATAAAACAGCAGAGCAGGGTCACACGACGAGAAAAAGAGTGAAAGTTCGAGTTCGAGAAGAAGAAAGGGAGAGAAAAGTTGGAAAATCGACAAAACATGTTTGATAACGAAAAACCAGGCAAGCGCCATCCTTCCTTCCAATCTCCCTCATTCACGTATCGGGCAAGCATCATTCCGCATCCCTAAGCGGATCCAGTTGTCAGGAACACACGGCACAAAGTTGAGATTGAGAAGGGGAAAGTTACGTGGGGTCAAGTGGATATCGCCCGTGTTACCGTCGATCCGCCCAGCCTGGCCATTGGCTAGTTGGATGCTTGCCTGTGTTTGGCTCTACGGGCTTGATGCGGCTAAGCCATGTACGCGAGATGCTTGTGTTAGGGCGTCCTAGTGTGTGAGGCTGGAGGCCAAGTTACCGGTAGGACTAGCAAACGCTACTTTCATCTAAACATGCTGCCACAGCTAAAATTGAACGTTCATACGCTTGCGCTATCTATTACAGACTGCTTTTTCTATGCTCCAGCAGCAATTACCTTGGGTGTATCCTTTTCCCGCTCCCGCTTCTGCGAACCTTTGCGCCTTCTACGTTCTGGTTTGTAGACGTCGTTGAAGTTGATGTTGACGGCTAACATCTTCAACTCACCATCAGGCGAATGCACGAGATCTCCCAGTAATATGCTAATCCTTGCGCGAAAGTCCTCTGTGAGTTGGCTCAGCCGCTTCTGTAGTGATGGTAGCACGTCGTCCTCTGCTGTGCCTGTCATGCCCATCTTCAACAGAGGCGGCGGAAATGGCGAGTCGGGATCTTGCCGTGATGCCGCTCGTGATCGCGCAAAAGGATCAGAGCTATCAGCATCCTTCTCAGAAAGACCCCATCGCCCAGCCGCGGTGCGTGTTTCAATCTTCGCGGCATGCTCCTGTCGACGAGTGAACTCTGCGACAGAGAAAGAATATAAGCCATCTACTGCATCCTTGTACGCCAACATAGTCTTGAGCAACTCGTGTAGCTGCCCTGTGAAGTCTATGCTAGAGCTTCCGAGTAGACCCTTCCGCGTGATGTTGTTGAGATACTTTGCATGCGCTTCAATCATGTCGTCAAGCGTGCTTTCTGGCTTGTTGAGCGCCTTCTGTAGATCGATCCAAGATGATTCGATGACCTCGAAAAGAATGTAATGTTGGAGCTGATTAACAAAGTGGACCATCTCCGCCATGGCGCACCGTGCCTTCTTCCAATCTGACCCAACTTTATCTGACACAGTACCCAGGACTCCACGAGCACCAGTCATACAGCGACGCCAGGTTGAACCGAGCGCAAATTCGACTCGCTTGACTCGCCAGAGAAAGTTGAAGACTTTGAGGTATTGCTTGGATCCGAAGGGGGTGACGATAACGTCGACGGGTGCGTCTATCTTGTACTCAAGCGTGAAGACGTCCCAACCAATCTCGCCGTGCGACAGTTCCAACATGCGCGAGTCAAGTCGGCGCAGTACGTCGGACGTGTCAAACTGCGCGTTCGAGTTCCTAACAGCGTGTTCGAGCTGCGCAGTAAGCGTGTGGCGATACTGTGTGTTGGCGGGTCGGTCGAGATTGGAGGACAAGGACTCCATCAAGACGGCAATAAAGTCGCCTGCCCCAAGTAACATGTACTGTTTCAGCGCCTGCAAATGATCAAACAGTTTGAACTTGTTTGCCATGAGATCTATAAGGCGGGCCATGGTAGTCTTGTACGCGTCGCCAATAGACCGCTCTAGGTTTGCAGTATCGCCATACTGCAACTCCTTCGAAGCTTCTTTGGAGTATGTATCCACCCAAGCTGCATCCCCACACCCGTAGCGAATGAAGTTGAGAGTCTTGCCGATAAGAAAGACCTTCTTAGCGAAGTCTTCGGTAACGATAGTAGGGACCATCTTGTCGTTTAGTCTGTACTTGTCTTCCCAAACGCTCGTAGCACCCCCTTTGCCCTCATTCCCGTTGGCCTCGATAATCTCATCCTCGCTCTGCTCAGATACGAAAAATTCCCCAAACGGGTCAGCGAGCTCACCATCGTAGACCCATTGTCTGAGCATGTCGTAGAAAGGACGCGTAACATCCGATAGCAGGCGTTCCGCAAAGGCCATAACGTAGGGGTCCCCGTGGTTGAGAGAGAAAGAATGGATGAGGGCAATCAGTTCGCCGCCCTTCTTGCTCTTGGACTCTTCGACCATTAGGCTCATAAGCCGCAAACCCATTGTAGGCTCTCTTATCCAAATGACACATCGCTTGAGGGTAACGCCAGCCTTGCCGAGACGGTGATGTCCCAGCCCATCACTTAGCTGAGCGAGCGCTCTCTTGATCTGGCCCTCTAACGTCGCCACAAGCCCTAGGTATGCCCTTAGCTCTTTAGCCAAGGCGGCGCGGAAGCTCTGTTCGACTAGACCACCGTCGCTTGCCTCTACGAACTCGGCTAGACCTTTGTATAGTATGGCGGGCTCGGCGAGTGTGTGGAGTAGACTGATGATAGGCACGGGTAGCGTTGGTGGTAGTCGAAGGGCTGTCGAGGAGGGAAATACAACGTTCGTCGAAGAATAGCCCTGTAGAGTAAAGGGTAGCTCGCGCAATAGAGTAGGCTCCGACGGTCCAATTTCCATGCTGTCGCTGTTTTCATGCCCACCAGTCGCCTGCTGTTCTTTCGCCGTGTCTTGTGTTGATCGTCGTTCTCTTCGCTTCTCTGGCTTTTCTGGCTTCTCAGCTATGGGCGCAGTTCGTGAAGACTTGGGCGACCCCGCGTTGGCTGGTATCTGTGACAGGCCTTGCTTGGAGAAGGCATCTTGCAAGGCTCCATGGGTCGATGCACTCGCGGCATGCCGCTTAGGCGTAGTAGGTTCGCGGGAGAAGCTGCGCGTATCTTGGACCGCTTGTGGTTCGCTATCGTCTTCTCCGTTGTTGGACAGGCGGTAAAGAAAGTAGAGCATCCGCCATTTCTGATCCAGTACTGTCTGCGTCTCGAGACGGGAGAGCAGATTATGTAAGCGGGCGCTCTTGTGTTGGTCATTTTGCGGACCAGAGACCTTGCCGTCAATCAGGTCGGAGATGTGGTTGACGTCGGGAACGAGTGAAGCATCTCCTGCGCCCATGAGCTCGTTGATGGCGAAGTCATAGGCGTCTTCGAAGCGCTGTTCCGCCGCCTCCTCATCATCGTTGGGGTCTTCAGGTACGATGCGGATCAGCAATTCGTTTAACGCGTGTTCGACGCGCTCACGGTGGAATTTGGCCATGTTGACGCGCATGCGCTGCCCAAATCCATCGTGTTGATGGTTGCGCAACTGCGCTGCTGCGGGGATCACGCCCGTGCGCGACAAACATCGTCACTCCTGCCCTCGCCAGATCTTCCCCACTCTTCCCCACTACAATAGGAACCGCGCCATCGTGCCAATTCACGGGTCAGATGGCGGAGATGTCCGCTATTTTCGTCTTATCAATATCCCTAGGTAGTGCTGCACTAGAGAGCGAACTCACAGAATGCATCTATGCAATGACGTCCAAAGTCGATAGAATGTGTCGCAGTTTGATGCGACAATACCTCATAATATACAGACTTCACACAAGCCACGCTACTCAAACTGAAGAACCATCGATTACATGATTTTGACGAGAGCTCTACCGAGCTATTCACTCGCACCTCACAAGCCACGCTTATTATGTGATGAATCCAGCCACCAGGCTGTCATTCACAGTCTCCAGGCGTCTCTTACCTCCAATCTCCTTCAAGTCAAATCCTACAAATTTACCTACCATCTTGCTACAGGTGAGAGACGGCGTCCACAGTGGCTGTCTCAAGGACATATAAACTTACTACAGCTGATCTATCTACCTTTCTTCTACCACTCACCACAACCAACAATACAAGACTTCTCACAGGCAACCACCTCACGGACACAACCCTCATCACAGCTCAATCCTTCTACCTCGTTCCCATCCCATGACATCAACGCTGTCCACGAACATGGGACTCGACAAGGCCAACACACCTCCCATGACACCTTCTCGTCCTTCAGATACACCCACTCCCAGCATTGAGACTTCAGAAGCTCCCGTCGAGGCCCACAACAGCCAAGCCTCTGTAGCGTTCAAGCCTCTGCAGTAAGTATCTTACCATGTATCCAGCATACAGAACCAACCCGACCCGACAGGATGCTGGTCAAAACGCCACTGACAGTCGAGTGTGGAGAGGATCTCACAGTCAAGTTTACCATGCATGTGGAGCTACTATGCTGCCACAGCAAGCTTCTTGCAGATCGTTTCGCCGCGGCAAAGCCGTTGAGGGAGCAATACGAACTCATCAAAAAACTTTGCGACAAGCTTGTAGAATACTTCTTTCCGGAGGTCACTCCCAAGCAATTCGAAAGCGGTCATTTAGAAGTAGAGGTACGTTCATCGTGATACCTCGACTCTCCCCATCTGTCAACTTACTTATCCGATCTTAGGTCATCCCACTCATTGTCAGAGCTTATGAGCAATGGCCTTTGCCGGTGTACGCCAACTCCGTCAAGATTGCCATTGATAACGCTGTCCAAGAGCAAATCACCGCCAAAAACATTCAGAACATAACTGTGAAGGACCTGGGCCGCATCACAGACTTATCGATACGGCTATCACATATCAAGTCACGCGGCGTGCAGACTATAGTTGAGAAACTATACGTCTTGATACACCAGATCACCAAGAAAGAAGAGAAGAGGGCCTTGAAAGAAAAGCTGCGAGCTGCAGCCCAGCACCGTCTCCTCCTTCCAGACGTCGATTCAGAAATAGTTGCAATTCTGATGCAGTGGATCTATCATGGGGCCCTTCACTACCAAGATGCTGAGCAACTTTACGCCGTCCTCCGACTAGCTATCATGCTTGGAGTCGATGCGCTCGCCGAGATCTGCTTGACTAAGCTCTATGATGCTGCTAGTGAGAGCATCGAGGACGCATCAAACTCCGGTGTGAAACTCCAAACCTTGCTGGGATTTGGACCGGACTCTGTCGACCATGCCCTAGGCGTCGTCTTCAAGAACGTTATCAACGACAGGCGTACTCCAAAGAGGTTACGTGACTTGGTCATCGATGCCCTTGCTGCAAGTCTCGATAAGGAGCTTTTCACGAAGATCAAGGACCTGATCAGCAAGGAAATGGCACTCGAGATCATCGAGGCCATGATCGATAACAGCGAGTAGATGAAGTCCGAAGTTTGCAAGGACGAAGTCAAGACTGAGGACTGAGTGCTTTTGGGGGAGCTTGGTATATATATGGGGTCCCTTATAGCTGCATGGGATGTACGGGCAAGATTCTTCGTCGATAGTGGTTAGTATACGGCAGTGGGCGTATACACTGCCTTCACTCCTGCTACACGGAGTGTCAGTGAAGCCCTCGAGTGGCCACATTCCAGTCTTTCACAGCACAAAATATCAATCTCACTTTCCAAGTCGCCATTCGCACTGACGTGACGCAGACCACTGAACGCATCTCAACTGCTACCCATGGCGCATACTGTCCTCCCGATTGCCCTCTGTGTCAAGTTACAACATACCGGACCGATGCATCCAGATCATGCTTGGACAGAGCCCATGTCTGCATATGGTTCCACGACGGCCGTTTGAAGGTGACACTACTGATCAACACACAGACCATCAGCAAATCCACCGAGACGTCAATCTCTTTGCAGAGACCGATGCGGCAAACCGGGGGTGACTGGTCGCACACAGGTCTCAGTACGGAGTGCGCAAGAGGAGGCGAACAGGGCTTACTCATTAACACACACACCCCTTGCGTTTGACAAGATGGAGCTTGTCCATGGATAGACCCAGGTACCCGGTTTACCCCAAAAGCGGGTGGCAACAGTATCTTTACCCATTTCCGGTAGATGGGCACACAAATAGTTGTTATTCGGTATTCTAGTGAAAGGGTAGGTAAGCGTCTCGGCGGCGTAGAATGATGTTGTCATTTGTGTTGTGTTGGTCGCACTGAAGGTCCCAACAAACATGGCTTTAGTTTAGCTCATTTCCCCATAAACTCAGCTTTTGATTACATGATACGGAGGGGAACTTCTAATCAAAGCTTCAGACTAGCTACTGTGGCGTACTGTACACCTCCTTGCAGCACACCAGCCAGCGGACACGCACACATATAACTGTTTTGTTTTGTCTAACCCCACACATACGAGCACGTAGTCATGTACCACGATCGATCGCATCGCCATCGCCGCCTATTGGCATTAGTCGTTGGCGTACTAGCAACCAGAGCGAGGTATGCCTGCCAAGTATATGTGGAATGGGGCCATACCACTACCCTGGGTAACGAAAACGCCACAAATAACAACGTTTCCCAGCGGCAAGTTATCGATTTTTTACACCTTCCCGGGGTAGTTTCTAGCTATCTTGTCCGACGACTGTGTTTGGCTTACGTGCGATGGGGAGGGAGGGGCGGTTTACTCGGGTTTGCTATGTTGGTACGACTATCTACGACTAGGCTCAGAGTGAACTATGACTATGTACGGTATTTTCGGGAGGGAAACGACAGATGATGTGCATGTTTGCATATGTACATTCCACGTGAGAAAGTGGAAACGTACGTCTTGAAGTAGCATGCCGATGAAGTCTTGGAGAAAAACATGGCAGAAAAAGACGGGAACACTATCCCTTTCATCTGCCTTGCCCCAGATGCAAACGCAAACGCCCTTCCTTACTCAATCTACCTAGCTGCATTTCATTGTCTTAGCCCCCAATCGGATATCCAGTTTAACCCAATATTCCCCGTGTGAACGCAGGAGGCGTTTTTCATGTTCCCAATATAACATATATGACCACACACACATACACAATAAACACAATGTCTAGTCCCCTTTTCTCCCCTTCTCTCCTCTTCCCCCTCCCCATCCTCCTCACACACGCACACAAAACGGAACTTACCATCTCACACACACTCGATCCGCAAAAGAACCCAACCCCCCGTTCGTTCGTTCCTCCCGTCGGCATACCACCTACCACAAAGCTCCGTCGCGCAAGCCCCCAACGGGAAGAGCGGGACGACCAACGCAATGCAGACTAACACCGTACACAAGCGCTGGTACTATCGGCGGGGAAAGCGGGACAACACGAACGGAGAGGCTAGGTCGACGCTTACGCACCGTGTGACATTGGGGCGATTGTACGCAGCGGGTATCTTGCACACCTACGCCGACGCCGACGCCGACGCTGGTGAGTATGGCGGGGATGTAGAAAAAGGGGTGGGTTGCCGCGGGGGGGTGGGGGAGAGCAAAGTTGTTCTTTACGACGACGAATATGATGGACACGCTGGCGCAGTTTCTGAGAATACCAAAACGATTGCGATTGGTGAGCAAGCGGGGGAAGACTCAGGAACAAGACGATGTATACGAATTGGACGTCTTCTCAGATGTACTGTCTTCACCGTTTATCGACGACTATTCACTCTCGTCTTTGTCGTTAATGTCGGAGTCGCGGCGGGGGTCTTGTGGAAGCGGTATCAGCACAACCAGCACCTCCACCAGCAACAAGTACCAGACAGCGCCGTCAATAACGAAAACATCACAACCCTCTCCACCCTCGCATCAACAAACTTCCTCACAGCAACACTCCTACGACAACACTGGCTCCTCAACTTCTTTTTCCGCTCTGCGTGGCTGGTCCCATGGCATGTACCGCTGAGGCTGCGGAGGGTGGTAGCGCGGGTGTATTGTTACGGGGGGATACACAGTGGGGCAGGTGTAGCCGGGACGATATGGTGGGTTCTTTTCACCGCCTGTTTAAGTGTCAAGGTTATCAAGAGCGGGGAGTATGGGTATACGGTGTTGGTGCTGGCGTGGGTGATACTGGTACTGTTGGGGGTGATTTTGGTGTTTGCGGTTCCGGGGGTGAGGAGGAGGTCGCATGATGGGTTTGAGGTGACGCATCGGTTTTTGGGATGGTGTTGTGTTGGGGGGTTTTGGGGGGAGGTGGTGCTGGTTTCGTGGCAGGGGTCGTTGGCGTCGACATCGTTGGGGGAAGAGTTGGTAAGGAATCCGTCGTTTTGGAACCTTATCCTCATCACGGTACTTCTTGTATACCCATGGCTCCGGCTCCGTCGCTGGACTTTCACCGCCCGTCCACTATCCACACACGCGTTACGTCTCTCCTTTCCAAACGCCATCCACAAGTTCTCCTGTCTTGCGATTTCCTCGTCGCCGCTCCGCGAATGGCATCCTTTCGCCACTTTTCCCTTGGCTGATCCAGAGGGCCCATGTGCCAGCATGGTGATATCCGATGCTGGGGACTGGACGAGGAACCTCATTCGCAGTGTGATAGCACAAACCAAGGCTACCGGAGACGACGTGGTAAAAGTAAATTTTTACATAAAATCACACCCTTCGGCTGGTGTGCTCTCGCTTACTTGTTTGTTTCCTCGCGTTCTTGTTGTGACGACTGGTTCGGGAATTGGTCCGTGTTTATCTTCTCTTCTTGAAAACACACTCGCTTCTTCTCGTGACCAGAGTCACCGCAGGCAGTTTGCACGTCTAGTCTGGTCTTCGCGCTCGCCGTTGACGACATTTGGGCCGCACATTATGGGGTTGGTGGACAAGGCGGATCCTGATGCCGTCGTTATTGATACGGCGGAGATGGGACGTCCGGACTTGTTGGAGGTGGCGTGGAGTATGTATAGGGAGTTGGAGGTTGAAGCTGTGTTTGTGCTGAGTAACCAAAAAGTGGTTGACTGGGTTGTTGGGGGGTTGGAAAGGAGGGGTGTTCCTGCTTTTGGACCGATCTGGGATAGTTGATGGATGTGTCTGTGTGCTGCTTCTGTTTGCTTACATATTTAGCTTTTATGTTAGTTGCTTGTATGATACCCAATTTTAGCTTTTGAATATCTTCTTTCGTTAGCATAAACCTCTGAGTGCACTCGAATGATTTGGACGATTTCATTGATACTTTTCCATTGTCTGTGACAAACGCCTCGCAACGAACAGACTGTACACAACATAGCCCCCAGCACGACAAATTTGGTATGGCCGTTTCGAATTGAGACATGGCAAAAGCTGCGAAAGAAGTAGCATGATGATAAGACAAAGCCAACACTACCGTTCCATAAGGAGTGAGGACTAGCGAAAAGAAAGCAGGGAGAGACCGTAACGCCGTCGCTGAAGACCGATAATAAACACAAGGGACTCCCTGCCCAAAGGAGACTCCAGACACCATACACCAACAAGCATCACTTTTGACAGCGTATTCATTCGTTACTGTTTGCTGCGCGAGGCGTTGCAAGTGGGCGACCGGCGAGGATGGCTTCTCGGTCTTGTCGCATGCCCTCAAGAACAGCGACGAGACCACCCTCTCTCATGCGCTCTAGTACCACCTTCATGCCTTCGCGCGCATTCGGCTGGCTACGTTGAGCACGTGTGAGACCAATCTTCTCGATATTGCGCTGCAGAGCCGCGGTACCCCAGCTCCGCAAGAAGCCCACCTTTTGTGGCTGCTCTTCTTCCATGGCGCCCTCCCTCGCAGCCTCACGCTTCTTCTTCCATGTCTCGCCGATGTGGCTGTGCAGTGTGACAGAACTTGTCACGTCTGTGGTCTCGCCCGTGTCCTCGACTCTCGCACCAGGCCCCTTGGCGTTGAAGTTGAGGAAGCCATGTCGCTGTGCTGCGCCTTCCATGCCTTGCCCAACTTTTACGTCATCGGCTAGAGGCGAGGGACGCTGGAACTTCTGTCTCTCCACCACGGACAAGACGCCCGTCCACTCTAAATTGCGCGACTCCGTGTCCATCCAGCCCTCTTTCATATCCACAACTGACTTTTCAAGAATATACGTCTGTGATTCTCCGCCCGCTGAGGCTCCGAGTAGGGATCGAGGTACGAGCTTCAGGACCGCCGAGGGGAGTTTGGAGCGTTTAAGATGCAGGCGAATAGTGGTTAGGCGCTGTGTTTCGGGGTCATAGCTGCGTGCGATGGTGTCGGTCGAGAGCACGTGAGTAGAGTATGGGTTGGGGTAGCGGAGAAAGTAGGCAAGCGACACGGCGGCGAAGGGGTACGAGTACGTTTCGTTGGACGAGTAGAATTTGACCATGTTGGCGTCTTTGTGTCGTCCTCTGGCTGTTTTTGAATTGCAGTTCGTAGAGAGAGAAGTCCAAGTGTGGGAATGTAAATCAGGTAGGTAAGAGGAGCTTTGGGCAGCCTGTAACGCGCGGGGAGTCTATCTGAATTGACAAAGGCGCATGGTTAAGCTGGCTCAATTGTGAATCGACAATTGAACAGCCAAGTGATGGCGGTGGTGTGAGCAAGCGGTGGTGACGACGACGATGCGCAGGCGGAATCGTCTAGACTCTACCCAAGTAGAGCTCTTACCATGATCACGAGTTTTGCCTCGTCACGATCGGAATTGCCCGTGCGAACGCCGATGTGGCTGGTGCCTGGCCAAGTGCGGGGCAAATGAGGCGCAGGCGAGGCGCAGGAACGTCACATCGAAGTGGGGTTAATTAGCTGGGATTATACACGTCTGCCAATGAGTATGAGTCAATGAGCGTATAGGAACACCTTTCCTTTTGTCTCCTTCACCTACGCCTTCAAGACACACGACACGTATCGCCACTATGACGGAGCCAGAACCACCCGCCGTTGCCGCCCTCTCGCTTGACGAAACGGCGGCACAGCCCGTCTCAAAAGCAACAGAGCAAGAGATCAATCCCTGGGACGTGCAAGCGGCAGTCGACGAAGACGGCAATGTCAAGGAATTCGACTATGTCAAAATATCGGAACAGTGGGCCACCAAGCTCATTGATCAGCCTCTGCTGGACCGGTTCGAGCGCGTCACTGGCCACAAGCCGCACCGCTGGTTACGGCGTGGCTTGTTCTTCTCACATCGCGACCTGGAACTGATACTCGACGTGTACGAGCGAGGCGATGACTTTCTTCTGTACACTGGACGTGGTCCGAGTAGCGACGCCATGCATATTGGACACACCATCCCTTTTGAATTCACAAAGTGGCTGCAGGATGTCTTCGACGTGCCACTAGTCATCATGTTGACAGACGACGAAAAGTTTCTCTTCAAGGAAAAGCTAAAGCAAGAGGAAGTCTACGAGTTCTCGCGTCAGAACGCAAAAGACATCATCTCCATTGGCTTTGACGTCAAGAAGACATTCATGTACATTGATTCGGAATTCTTCACATCTGGCTACAACCGGCATTTCAGTCTTAACACTACTGAATTCGAAAAGCTCATCACGAACAACCAGGTTCGTGGTGCTTTTGGTTTCCACGGCTCCACCAACATCGGCAGTAATGCCTTTGCTGCGAAACAGTGTGTTGCTGCATTTGCTTCTTCATACCCCTTCATCTGGGGCGAGGACTACAAGACATACCGTCGTTCCAAGAAGCTCGCGGCTATACCATGTCTTATTCCCTGCGCCATCGACCAGGACCCCTACTTCCGCCTTGTTCGCGAGAACTGCGGCAGGATGGACCTCCCATCACCAAAGCCTGCCCTTATCCACTCCAAGTTCCTCACCGCACTTCAAGGCGCTGGCGGTAAAATGAGCGCATCAAATGCCAATTCTGCCATTTTCATGAGCGACACTCCGAAGCAGATTAAAAACAAGATCAACACCAAAGCATTCTCGGGGGGTCAGGAGACACTCGAGCTACATCGCGAAAAGGGTGGTAACCCGGACATTGACGTTCCCTACCAGTACATTGCCTACTTCGAAGATGACGACGAAAAGCTCAAGAAGCTAGCAGAAGACTACCGCAAGGGTGAGCTCCTGACTGGTGAGATGAAGCGGGAATGCGTAGAGACCATGACGGCCTACACCAAGAGATTCCAGGACGCACGAGCCAACGTCACGGATGAAATATTGGACGAGTTCCTGCGCCCCCGCAAGCTAGAATGGAAGGGTAACCCTAACCCCACCAAACCAAAACTAGAACAGCCCAAAGAGGCAACTGAAGGGGGACCGATGCTAGACGCTGACGGAAAGCCAATGACTAAGAACGCCCAAAAGAAGGCCGCGAAGATGGCGGAGGTTGAGCGGAAGAAGAAGGAGAAGGAAGCCGCCGCCGCCGCCGCCAAGTAGACATCACGGTACAGGACAGTACGCACTACCAATACCATTGCGTCAAGCTCAAGTGTGCTCGATCTTGGACGTTTCGTGCATATGACTGTTTTCCGTTTCTATCTGTGCTTGCCCATGTTACTTCTCAGTGAGTCAGTCGATCAGTCGAGATATCACACCCTTCACACAATAAAACGGGACTACCCTAGGCTGCCATTTCGGCGTCCCAAATTTGATAACCACTCATCACCTGAGCTTGACTAGGAGTTTTGGTCGAACTGCACTGGATTTGCTTGGCAATTAGTTGACGGAACGTCGTATTAACGCAGGGGAGCTATACTAACACCATCTAGACTTCCACGCAGATCTTGCATTGAAAATTCGCAACTATGATGTAACTGGTCCAGATTATTCAGGTGCATCCTCACACATGATGCCGGCTACAACGTGTTTTGATCCGTCACCTTTAGGCACTAAATCGATAGAATGGCAACAATGGAACCCATGTGCAGTCTACAAATCTTTGGTTCCTGATGGCAACTGCCCGCAGCGGTCAACGGTAAGCCAAGCGTCAGACTGCACGCGCATAGTCTAGACTACCAAAACTTTAGCTCTGAGATCACGATGGCTTCAAGTTTTGCCAGACGCACTGTCTGTATGGTCGGCATGAGGCAATATTCAATTGCGTTCCGCAATCATCCAGTCAGGTCGACCATGCAGCTATCCGACACTTCTCATGTGATATGCCTAACCATAAATACAACCCGAGCCTTGGAAACGATCAGTCGCAGATGAATCGATAGGCATACCCTTCTTTCTTATCCCTTTACCTTCCGTCACCCCGCCTTGTAGCCCGCGTTCTATCGAGTCACTAACCCCGCGTTCTCTATATATGTGATGAGTGTGACCACGCCTTCCTGTGTCTGGATATTCCCTTCGTACTTCCCTCGAATCGAATGCACTTGTTAGCATCCTCCTCCACCGCCCTCTGTTACCATGACACCCATCACTCCTAAACCACACGATGACTCCGTCCACGCCAACGATGAAAAGCAACCCCAGCAATCCCACTCAGAAACCATCACCTCAGCCAGCATATCCAAAACAATCTCCTCCACCCTCCCATCAGCATCAAAATGCGACTCTGCAACCCCCATCTTCCCGCGCTCCGCCTCAGTAGCCGAAGCAACAATCAACGCAGAACACTCCATGACGCTCCACCAAGGCATCCGCCAATTCCCCAAAGCCATAGCCTGGTCCGTCGTCATATCCCTGACACTCGTCATGGAAGGCTACTCCACCATCCTCGTCCCCAACCTCTTCGCTATGGACCCCTTCCGCCGCCGATTCGGCGACTTACTGCCAAACGGGTCGTACGAGATCAGCGCGAACTGGCAGACTGCGCTTGTGAACGGCGGGCTGGCGGGCCAGATACTAGGGCTTTTTGTTACGGGGACTGTGGCGGAGAGGATTGGGTACAGGCATACGCTTATGGTGGGGTTGACGGCGATGAATCTCTTCATCTTTGTTACGTTTTTTGCGGGCAGCAAGGGGGTTTTGTTGGCCGGGCAGTGTTTGCTGGGGATGCCGTGGGGTATGTTTCAGTGTGTTTGTACGGTTTATGCGGCGGATGTTTGTCCGGTGGCGCTGAGGGCGTATTTGACGACGTATGTATTCTGGTTTTGGTCTCTTCTGAGGCGCGTGAAAGGGGTTTTTGCTAATAGCTTTTTAGGTGGGTGAACGCATGTTGGGTTCTTGGTCAACTGATCGCTTCCATTGTCATGCGCGGTATGATATCGGATATGACAGAGTGGTCCTACCGCATCCCGTTTGGTCTCCAGTGGATCTTTCCCTTGCCCATCCTTGTGGCCGTCTGCTTCGCTCCAGAGTCGCCCTGGTGGTTCATTCGCCAAAACCGCTTCGCCGACGCAAAGGCTTCGCTACACCGGCTACGCACTAAACCCAAGTCCGTTTCTGACGTCGAGTTCGACTTGGTTCTGGTGGGCACGATGGAAGGCATGATTGAGACCAACGACCGCGAACAGCGGATGCAGACAGGCACGAGCTACAAAGACTGTTTCAAAGGTGTTGATAGACGCCGAACAGAAATCACGTGTATGGTATGGATCATCCAGATATTATGCGGTAGCACATTCATGGGTTTCTCAACCTACTTCTGTAAGTCCCCTTACCGCATCTCCCCTCCTACACACTAACACCCACCACAGACGAACAAGCCGGCATCGCCTCCTCCCACGCCTTCACCCTCTCCCTCGCGCAATTTGCCCTCGGCCTCATCGGCGTCATCATCTCGTGGGCACTAATGTCGCACTTCGGACGACGAACACTCTACCTCTCCGGTCAAACCCTCACATGTCTCTTCGTCCTGCTCATCGGCATTCTAGCCTGTATCCCACAACCCCACACAAACACGACCAGCACATTCACCCCCCTCAACTGGTCCATCGCCGCACTCCTCCTCGCCTTCACTCTCACCTACGACGCCACCCTCGGCCCCATCTGCTACGCCCTCGTCTCCGAGATGCCCAGCACGCGGCTCCGCAGCAAGACGATTGTGCTAGCGCGGAATTGCTATAATGTGGGTGGTATCGTGACGAATGTTATTACGCCGCGCATGCTGAATCCGACGGCTTGGGGGTGGGGGGCTAAGACGGGGTTCTTTTGGGCGGGGACGAGTGTGCTGGGGTTGGGGTGGAGCTTTTGGAGGCTGCCGGAGCCGAAGGGGAGGACGTTTGGGGAGTTGGATGAGCTATTTGAGAGGGGGGTTGCTGCGAGGGAGTTTGGCGGGTGGGCGGCGGGGGATAAGAGTTCTGTTGAGGGGGAGGGGGGTGTGAAGGAGGGGGTTTAGATGGGTTGGTGGGTGGGTGATGGATTGGTGGAGGGGGTTGTGAAGGAGATTTTGTAGGATTATGGGTGTATAGTGTTTTGTTTCGTTTAGTTTGCAGAAGTTAAATCTCGCGGTGTGTAGGTTTGTGTACCTTGAGTCTTACTCCCTTGTTGTGAACTCCATAGCGCCGAGGGTCCCTTGTCCAGTTTTATTTCTTTTCCTTTTTTTCTTTCTTCTTCTGTTAATATCTTAAAGATAATACTCCTCTTCCGAATCCCACGCCCTCCTCCCATCCCATCCCATCCCAGCCAAGCCTACCCCAATAACCCCCACGGAAACCCACCACCACCACCGCCGCCACCCTCGCGCACCCTCCTCATGCTCCACCCCCTCCGCTAACCTCTCATGCTCCTCCTCCTGCTCAACCCTCAACCTCTCCATCTCCGCATGTACCTCCCTACGCCACTCACTCACTCGAACATGTGTCGCCAGACTCTCCTCAACGCTCTTTTCAAACTCGCGTATAAGAGCCTCTGGCTTTTGCCGATGAGGATGCTGGGTAGTTTGCATGTTGTTTTGGGGGGAAGCTAGGGCCCAGATGTCGTCGTCTGACGATGAGAGGGAGGGGGAGAGGGAGAAGGGGGGGAGGAAAGGGAAGGGGAAGGGGGAGAGGGAGTGGATTTGGAGGGCGTAGGGATGGGTGTTGGAGCAAAGAATATGGCAAGATACTATCTCGTCATCGTCGTCGTCGTCGTTTGGGCAGGGGGTGGTGGTGGAAGAGCAGGAAAGATGACAAGATTCCATCGAGTCTTTGGAGTCTGAGTCTTCTAAAAGAATAGTTTCAGACTCGCTTTCTTCTTCATCTTCCTCATCTTCCTCGTCTTCGGAATCAGAATAAGAAAAATCGGAAGAGAGCCACTCTTCCTCGTCGTCGGTAGCGTAATCAGTATCTGGTGCGACGGCTGTGTTTTTTCTTTGATGATGACGTGCGAGTAGCACCGCATACCAGGGTCGCCGCTGTAGGTCTGCGGTGTTCATTTCTCTGAGGAGGCCTTGGGTTTGGGAGGGGTGGTTGTGTGTTGGTGTAGATGTGGGTTCTGTCATGGTTTGGTTGTGTTGGAGTGCGGGTTGTGTGTGGGAATAGATTTGTCTTGTGGCTGCGGTTTGTGTGAGCGGATGTGAGATGGGGAAGCTTTTCGTGTTTTATATATGGGAAGAAAGGGATATTGCATGGTAGTGGTGTTGTCGCAACCATGGTTTGTGGAGTGGGTTCCACTAAAATGAAGTCGTTGCGACTGGTGAAGAAATTCGCTAAAGAGAATAATAGTATTCCGTACCTTGGTTGCAAAGACACTTATGAAAGTTCTAAGCGATACTTTGTTTTCCATGGAACGGGAAGACTACTTTCTTGATTACAGTGGCTGAGATGCGATCGACAGATCTACTTGTGACGGTTATGAGGAGAAGCAGATCACGTGTTGGTGGTCTGGTGCTGTTTCCTCACTTTATTGAGCACCTCTTACTTCAGCTGGATCATAGATACGTCATGTAAACAGACCCTGCTGCTGCCTTCGTAAAAAGGCGAGCAGACACAACACTACAACAAACACAATATACTCTGATTACTGCCTCGCGCGGTTACACTTTGATTGACTGCATACACTGCGACACTACTCCACCACCGTACCATAGCCAAATCCTCGAACACCATTACTAACCCACACATGCTCGCCAACTTGCACAGTGTCAATACTAACAGGCTCTTCCATACAATACCCGCTGCCCAACGCCCACCTACGACTTGTGCCCCTTTGCCCCCCAGCCCCAACCTTTGCGCTTCTCGTGGAATGGCCCCAGCGACCGGCAAACGGCTTTCTAAGCTCTCCTTCGTCGGCACCGTCATCCTTTAACGTCTTGCTCGTGAACTCGCCAGAGGGGACGCCAACTGGCGGGGTAACCCAACGGCCACCGCGGAAGAGGTAGAGGGACGTTAGAGTGCCTTCTGTGAGCTCGTTGACTTCGTTGTAGAGCATTACTTCCCGGTAGGCTGGACCAGCAGAGTTCTCAGGTAAGGCACGTTCACGGCTTTGATCATACATTTCTCGTTTGGTAGTCTTTAGGAGGGTGAAGGGTGATGATGGTGTGGGCGCGGTGTCTAGCTTGATCTTCCATTCTGGTGGCGGAGGAGGTGTAGATGTTGCTGCTGGAAGGGAGTCGTCGGCGCCGAGGGTTAGAGCACCACCTGTTAGCGGAGAAGGCTTGAAGGTGTTTGCGGGATGTTTTTCTGGGATGGATGCTGGTGGGTCCAGAGATGGAGGGTAAAGGGTGGACAGGGGGACAGCAGGGACAGCGGTGAACTCGACGGTAAGATTGGCGTCTTTATCGTACAGCAGTCGAAGCTGAAATATTTCAGTCAAGTCATGGTACATCGGACGGTACATACCTCATACCTTCATCGCTTCGTCTTTTCCAGACTTTTGTATATGAGCCTGAGTCCGCTTCAGTAGTTCGGCGTGTAGTGCCTCGCCATCTTGAAGCTTCTTCTCGACCTCAAAAAAGTCAAAGTGCTGCGCTGCTTCTACCATTCGATCTCTGTGATAGGCAAGCATGTAGAAGGGTGACGGGGAGACAAAGTTCAGAATCTGACGAGAGTTTTCCTCTGATGTAGGTAGCAAGGGATCATATCGCAATGAAGTGAAGAGCTGGAATTCATTTTCGGAAGCCATTGAGGTTCAAGATGATATCACGTGGCCAGGGTAGGAAGTAGGTGAATGATGGTGGTGTGGGCCGCCAAACGGGTCTTGGTCGGCAACGGCACGGTTGATGACGTCCCCCGACGCTCGAGCCCACAGCTCGCTCACGTCGTTGCACCAAGCTTGCCCTAGCCAAATTTCTGCGATCAAGGCCCCAACAACAACACACCACCGCCAACCGCCATTGAGCAGTAAAATAGCCCACTCGCTATATTCACTTATAATACTTACTGCTGATTACACCCAACATGGCGCCCGCAAATGCACCCGTGCCCCAGGGCCCTGGTCCGTTTCCCGTTCAGATTCCTGCCGACACAAGTAACTCGCTATGGGACCGGTTGTCGAATTGGGCGGCGGAGAACAAGGGGGTGGTATACACCATTGCCGGCATAACACTAGTTGTTGGTGCCGGTGGCGCAGTCTACTACTTCTCAAACGACTCAAGAGATGGCGGTGCCGACACATCAGCCACCAAGCGCAAGAGGCAACGCGAGCGCAAGCGTGCGAAAGAGCGGGCTGAAAAGGACACTGGGGCTGAAAAGAAAGCAGAAGGTATGTGACATGGACATGACATGTGACATGGACTGCGACAATAAAGACGTGGGGACTGACGACTGAACAGAGCCCAACAAGGCAGTAGCTGATGCCCCACAAGAGTCGCTCCCAGAAGTAGACGAAGAAACAGTTGGCTCATTATCAGACGAGGTACGATAAGGACGGACCACGACATAACCAACGACTAACTCGTGCAGCAACGTAAAGACTATGCCGCCAAACTAAAGGCGGCAGGCAACAAGGCATACGGCTCCAAGGACTACGAGCGCGCAATTGACCTCTATGGAAAGGCCATTCTCTGCAAAAAAGATCCCGTCTTCTACTCGAACCGCGCCGCATGCTATAACGCCATGTCAGAGTGGGACAAGGTCATCGAAGACACAACGGCCGCCATCAACCTCGACAACGAATACGTAAAGGCGCTGAACCGACGAGCCAACGCATACGAACAGGTCGAGCGCAACAGCGAGGCTCTCCTCGACTACACTGCGAGCTGCATCATCGATGGCTTCCGCAACGAGAGCAGCGCACAGAGCGTTGAGCGCCTGCTGAAAAAGGTGGCCGACGCAAAAGGCAAGGCCATTCTCGCCTCCAAGGAGAAAAAGCTGCCCAGCCCAACGTTTGTCACAAACTACCTCCAGAGCTTCCGTCCCAAGCCAACACCAGAGGGCCTTGAAGACGATGCCGAGCTTGACGAGGAGAGCGGAAAGGGTCAGCTTCGCAAGGGGCTAAAGGCCATGGCTACCAAGACGGGCCATGGATACACTGAAGCCGCCGCAGCCTTTGACCGCGCAGTAGAACTAGGAGACCTCGGCGAGCACGAGGCCTTTGCCTACAACATGCGTGGAACTTTCAGCTACCTCAAGGGCGACAACGAAGACGCCCTAAAGGACATGGACAAGAGCATCGAGCTCCAGCCCACACTAACACAGAGCTTCATCAAGCGCGCCAGCATGCACTTGGAGCTTGCCAACCCAGAAGCTGCCGAAGCCGACTTTGCCGCTGCCCTGGAGCAGAACTCGACGGATCCCGACATCTTCTACCACCGCGCGCAACTCCACTTCATAAAGTCCGAGTTTGGCGAGGCGGCCAAGGACTACCAAAAGTCTATCGATCTGGACAAGGATTTCATCTTCTCACACATCCAACTCGGCGTCACACAATACAAAATGGGTAGCATCGCCTCCTCCATGGCCACCTTCCGGCGCTGCATGAAGAACTTCTCCCAAGTCCCAGACGTATACAACTACTACGGCGAACTCCTCCTCGACCAGCAAAAGTACCAAGAAGCCATTGAGAAATTCGACACAGCCGTGGAAATGGAAAAGACGAGCAAGCCGCTCGGCATGAACGTGCTGCCCCTCATCAATAAAGCCCTCGCCCTCTTCCAATGGAAAAACGACTTCGACGAGGCGGAGAAGCTCTGCGAAAAAGCCCTCATCATCGACCCAGAGTGCGACATCGCCGTCGCTACCATGGCCCAGCTGCTCTTGCAGCAGGGTAAAGTCACTGAGGCGCTCAAGTACTTTGAACGTGCGGCTGAGCTGTCGAGGACGGAAGGCGAGATTGTTAATGCGCTGAGCTATGCTGAGGCGACTAGGACACAACTTGAGGTATGTTTCCACTGGAATCGTAAATATGATGACGAAAGGAGAAGCTAACATGAATGTTTAGGTACAAGAAAAATACCCAAAGCTTGCTTCAAGACTAGGTGCCATGGGCGCGGCTGGCGGTGGCTTTGGTGCCGGTATGCGGTAGGACCGGACCGCCGTTGTTACCGTCCTCTCGTCTCTGCTGGTCAGCTTATTTGAGTTTGAGTAATAAAATCGTCTGGGCTGAGGAAGAAAATTCATCTCCGCTTTTTATTCAAATTGCACCCTTTTGATCATCTTTTTTTTTTGGCGAATGTCTAGGTTCTTGTAAAACGAATTCCCCTCCTCCTCTCCTCTCTGGCCTGCGCCTCGCATACTCACTCTTTCTCTATCGATGCTTGTGTGCGTGGTACTGTGCAGTGCAGTGGTCAGAGTGTCATCATCGCCGTTATCATTTTCGTTGTTCGTAGGTAAGGATTTTAGGGATGATATTCGGGTAGGTCAACAAAAGGGTTGAGGCTGGGTGGGGTTTGGAGGGAAGTTGGAAGAGGTGGGGGGGGGGGGGCAGTATAGTTCAGCATAGTCATGTATATCTAGGTATAAGAACCATGAATGAAGAGAAAGCCAAGCCGGGAGAGAAGCAAAATTGTTCTGATACTCATAATCACATCGTCGTCGTTGTGGTTGTTGTCATCTTAGGCTTTGGCTCTCTCTCTATACAGCGTCTATACAGCCCAGTCCAGTCCAGTCCATTCCAGTTCAGTTCAATCCAGTTCATTCCGCCCAGCCCGCTACAGACATACCCGTCTTAAAAAAAGAACCCCTTCCTCTCCCTCCCTCACCCATCCATACCCCACAATGTTTTCCCTCGACTACATCCCTCTTACTCTCACTCCCCACTCAACTGCAAAATCAACGTACTAGCCACATCCAAAAACGGAAATGGACTAGTAACAATCTTCTCGCCCTCCTGACGTCCGACACCCACAAGTTCAGTGCGCTCTCTCAAAATGCCCGTATCACCTTCTCTCAATTTATTCGCCAGATCAGGGGGGAGGGGTTCGTTTTCTGCTAGTCTGCGCCAGACGCCCTGTTCGTCGTCCCAGCCGTCCTGGTGATGCTGGTGAGGTTGCGAGCTAGACAGGGAAGAAGACGAGGCTTTGATTTCGCGGACGAGGTTCGAGACGAGGCGTTCGTAGCCGGCGCATTTGAAGTCTACGACGAAGAAGTCGCGGTCGATGCTGTAGAGTTGGATCGACATGTAGATGAAGACTGCTTCGTCCGAATGGAGGTGTTGGTGATGGTCTTCGGTGGCGGCGCGCTCTGCTGATGTCATGCCGTCGACGGCATGGGCGCTGGATGTGCTGGCGTTTGTGGAGCTGCGGCGGCGGAGACCAGAGGGGTCGTTTGCGAGGTCGACGCGCGACGAGTGGGTGGAGGATGGGTGGGCGACGCCGGGGGGGAACATGCCTTCTTTGCGGAAGCGGGCGTTTATGACCCATGGGTCTTCGGGGACGTGGTAGCCCCAGTCGTTGGTGTGGTTGTAGTGTCTCTTCTGCCGGCCTCTTGTCTCTTGCTCGTATGCGCTGTTGTTGCGTACGGTAAGCGGCTCTCGGCGTGGCGAGTTGGCGCGCGCACCTTGACCTTCATGCGATGAGTGAGACGATATCGAGTCTTGTGACTGACTCCGCGACTTTGGTGATCCAGGCGCCTTGGATGTACTTGGACTGCGGGATCCGCTTCTTCCACCCGCTCGGCGTATCTTGGGTATCTCCCAGTCAGCACCCATGGCTTTCAGTGCCTTGAAGATGGCCAGCATGGCCTCTGCAGGCTGATTCCTTGAACGAATACCAAATTGCCACTTGGTCGCTCGCGGTTTCTTAGCGGGTAGGCTTGTCATTGGTTCAGGTTTTGACCTTCCGGCTTCAGGTAGAGTGCGGAAGTTAGGCTTCAGCCTACGAGCTGAGATTTGCCGTTGCTCTTCCGTCTGTTCTGGAGTCGGTGGGAGACCATCTGTATCCTGGACTCTGCTCAGCGGCCGTGGGTGACCTTTCATGTACGCTTTATGGTATTCGGTAAGACTGCTAGGCAAGATAGCCACTGTGCTAACGGGACTGCGCACCATTGCGAGCTGGCTACTAGCATTTGAGCCTTGACGCGCCCTTTCATGCTCCTTGGTCGAGGGGGGGATGAACTGGGGACGGGAAGCAGCGTTCAACGATTGTGGTCTGAACTTGTCCATGTGACTCTCGTGGGTGGGAGGCGACTGGTGATTCCATACCGGTACGCCGTTGTCGTTGGTCAGTAATGCTACACAGGATTAGCAAGGCATGGTGTGAGTGATAGTATTGACTTACGGTTATCCCGCATCATCTCATTCTCGCGCACAATCAAGTAGGCGTCCTTGATTGCGCTCGGCTCGTCACGTGCCAAGGCGTCTTGGACGTCATGCTTTGCGTAGCCCATTGTTTTTCCGAGCTTGGAGACGACATTTTCGTGCAAGGCCTGGACACGAGGGGCATCGGCGGTTGGGGCTAGAGCCTTGGGATCGATTGCTTTGTTAGGGTCGGCTCCACTATCGAAGAAGTCTTGAACAGGTGGCTCCAGGTATGGGGGTAGGTCTGTGGTGAACCATGGATCTTGTCGGAGTTCGGGGATGGTGATGCGGTGGACGGGGTTGACCATGAGCATTTTCTTAATCAGGGACGTGGCACCCGGTGACAGATAGCTCGGTGTGCTGTATTGTCCAGCTGCAATCTTCTTAAAAAGTGTAGGGATATACTCGTCGTCAAAAGGTAGTCGACCAACCAACAGCACGTAGAGAATGACACCGCAACTCCAAACGTCGACTTCGGGGCCGGCATACAGCTTTCCAGATATGACTTCGGGCGCAGCGTAGTTTGGGCTGCCGCAGCTCGTCTTGAGGAAATTGCCATCTGTCATAATGTTGCTCAGGCCAAAGTCTGCGATTTTGACGTTGCTGTCGTGGTCGAGCAGCAGGTTCTCGGGCTTCAAGTCTCGGTGGACAATCTTGTGTCTGTGGCAGTATTCGACGGCGCATACGATTTGCTGGAAGAACTTTCTAGCCTGGGCCTCTTGCAGCTTCCCGTGGTTGACAATGTAGTCGAACAACTCGCCGCCAGCGTACTCCAGGACCATGATGATTTCCGTGGGCGTGGTTATGACGGTGTATCTGCAGAGGTCAGCATGAATATTCGCAGAAGTGGGTGGCTTGGTTACAGCTTGATAATGTGCGGATGCCGCAGCAGTTGCAGATACTGGATCTCGCGCTCTATCCTGCCCGCCATGTCTCGCGTCACCAGTCTCTTGCGGTTGATGATCTTGAGGGCGACCTTTTGGCCGCTGACCTGGTGCGTGGCCAGCTTGACCTTGCCAAAGGAGCCCTCTCCAAGCGTACGAACTATCGTGTACTGTCCCAGCCGCTGATTCGCCTTGGAGTCCTTGCTCTTGCTTTCCTGCACGGCTGTGCCGAGAGCGGCAGGCGTCGCAAGGGCGGCATCTTGTGTCTTTGTAGTGCTGGCGCCCCCAGCTCCGCGCCGCTGAGCAGGCATGGAGATGGAGAGCTCCTCGAGATCTTCATTGTCGATTGCGGCCGACATGGTTGCGCGTAGATTGGCGGTTTCGCGGATTCGCGCTCCCAAGCAGGTGAGCTGGTCTGGTTAGCGGTTAGTGGTTAGTGGTTAGCGGTTTGCGGGGAGCTACCTAGAGGTAAGGGACAGGACTGTTAGCATTAGCAGCTTGCCAACCCAGGGCTGGACCAATGCGCTATTTGCCCATTGTCGACTTTCCTAGTCGTATCAAGAGACATGGAAATGATGACTTACGTCACTACTGCCCGCTCCTTATGTCTACTTACAGCGGGGCGCCAAATCCGTGGTCCTGGCCTGCGTCGACGTGCCGCCTTAATGCCCCGCTACCACCGGTCAGGCCAACATGGACAAAAACAACAACAACGTGAGAAGGGATTGATTGAATAGGAAAAGGTATTCTTGAAGGAGGCTGTATGACGCTTGACAAGTGTTGTTTGCTGCTACTACTCCAACTACCATATCGCGCGCCGGCAGCTGTAGTGGGGCACACTGCCTAATAAGACACGGAGCGCAGAGTAAATTTCATCCAGCTGCTCTCGGAAAACTTTCACATGCAAAGAGATGAACATATCAAGATCCGATAGACTAACTCTGAGATCAGCGTCACCCATAGCAGTGGCAGCTTGCATCCTGCAGCCCGCCATCGGCCCGCCATGTTGGTGACTTGCATACTACATGCACCACCAAGCCCACCGCTTCCTCGTAACTCGTAATCCCCTGCCGCCATGGCGATTCCACAAGCCCATCCCAAATGCCTGACTTGAATTCAAATGCCATCTCACATCATCTGTTACCGCATGCTAGGGCCCGCTGCATCCTTTCATCGGAAGCAGAACATACGGCCAAGCCCCCGCTGCTGCACCTCGCGCCGCGCTGCCCCATCGACGTAGACAGCCTCGCCCTCGCTGGTCGAACTGGCGCTGCTGACCTGTTTCGCCTTGTCGCCTCCAAAAACTCTCAGTAAAACGACCATGCTACCTGCACTGAGGATACTACCACACAGGATGCCAATCATGACAAAGTTGCTTTTGCGGTATTTGTGAGGTCCGGCCTTGGCATCTTCAGGCCATCCCGAGTACAGCGCATAAGTCGTCAGAATGCTTCCTAGATTTCCAAGTCCAGACACGAGTGCGGCGGCTGCTGCTACGCCGACTTCTCCATGTCGGGGCTGGAAAATCTCGTTGGACCACGCCATGCAAATGGGTACTGTCGGTCCAAGCCCGAAACCAATCAGCAGAATTCCCCCATACCGTGACCAGTTCTTTGCAAATGTTGCAATCAAAAGACCGGCAATTTGAACTACGACGGCCGCGCTGAAGAAGGCAGGTCGATGATGGTGGAATCGATCCGAAATTGGCGTGACGAGTAGAATAGCGATGAGGTCCATCTAACACGTTAGAATGTTGGGGTATACGGTAATCCCATGTTCAACTTACAATCCAAATGGGCGCAGACAGCAAACTCAACTGAATACCCGTTAGATCCGGGTTGATGCCCCGAATAATGACCGTCGCATACGCCTGCGTGCCGTTTCCCACGCCCACCACCCCAAAGTACATGACGACAAGTGGGTAAATCCTCCAGTCAATGACCACGTGCCAGAGGTCCTTCATAGTCCACAACTTGCGACTGTAAACACGCGTCAAGTCCTCGTAATGGATACGTGCGTCTTCGCCCTCCAAAGCTGGTCTACCCTCTGGTAGCCACTTCATCCATCCGCTTCGCTGACGAACTTGGCCTGGAGGTAGGGGCCGGTCGGGAAGCCACCAGAGAAGCGATATACCAACGATAAAACCGACAATGCCGTACAAGAGAAACATCCATTGGAACCCGACCAATCCACCCAGACCGTCCATCTTCTGAAAGCCTGCAGAAACCAAACCCACAACTGCCGCTGACATTTGCGAGGCCGTGAAGTAGCGTCCAATGCGTTTGCCAGTGCGAGAGGGAGGGTAGAACAGAGTTAGATAATACGACATGCCAGGCCACATGCCCGCAATGACAATACCAAGCAGTAACCGCAGCAGACTAAAGGCATTCGTTAGTTTTAAGGATACGTCAGATATGTAGAAGAGAACACACGTACTAGAGGTTCCAATCCGCATTCATAGCAGTCAAGCACATGCCAATAATGCCCACACACGTGACAATCCGACTCATCCACGCATGCGGGCTCACCCTCGACATGATGAGATTAGACGGCAGATCAAAAATCACATAGCAGACGTAGAACAGCGCCAGACCCGTCGACACCTGCTTGGGTGTGATGTCAAGCACAGAACCTAGATCGTGGCCTTCTGCCAGATTCATAGTTTGCGCGAGACCGATGTTGGAGCGTATGGCTGAGCATATGAAGTACAAGACCCAGAAGGCTGGAAGGATACGCCGGTCAAGTTTGCTGCAAAAGCATGGTTAGATGAATATATACAGGGGAATACAAGTAAAAACTTACGAATATACCCTCTCAATCCTATCAATATCAATACCCTCATTCCCTACTTCAACATCCCTCTGTACACCCATTTGCTTCGCCGAACTCGGCCCCGCAGACACAGGTGCAGCACTCTTTCCAACATCATCATCATCGGAACCCATGTTGGCAAACGAAAACAGGCGCGAAAAAAGGGCAAGGGTGGAGTAAGAAGAAGAAATGTTCACATCCAACGATTATCTGCACAACCACACAGTTCCCTAAGCCGAAGAAACCTACCTGCACCGTTCGGCACACCCTCCCAACACGGCGTCCCGTCGCGCCCATTCGTGGGATAGTGGGCGAACTTTTTTTTCGCTGCATAGCTACCTAGACTACCGTAGTGGGGGGTTCATTGAGCCGCTAGTCAACGGGTGTCGATCTCGATTGCTTGTGGTCCGAGCAGCTGCACAACATTTGCGTGCCGGCCGTCATCGCAATCGTCGCTATCGCTACCATGAACAACGCAACATCGGACAAATTATGCCATTGCCATAAGGCCGGCGCGGGAATTATGCAAAAGGCGCGGGGATCGAGGCTAAGCTTAAAAAAACAACGATGTTAGGATTATTGACAGCAGACAGGGCTCGGACGGTTGCCGGAGGAAACAAAGCGTCATAGTTAGTAATACAACCTAAGCTTCAGCTCTTTCCACTTCCTACACTACCTATCAGCCCGTGCGAGAGAGAGAGAAAAAAGAGTAAACAAAGACAAGAAAACTGACCATAGGCCGAAATTCATCCAAACCATGTGTCCCGTTCTATACCAAATACTCGCAAACACCTTGGTGCGCTCAGCGCGCCGCGTCGCTCCGCCCCAAGCACGAACGCTGCGTCTGCGCGGTTCGAGAAGTGTTTCCACGTTACCTGAGAACCCACACATTGTAACGTCTGCCCCCTCCCAAAATACACCCCACTCCATAACTAACAGCTCGAAAAAAGTACGTCCACATAGACCCATACGACCCTTCCAAACGTCTCCTCACTCTCCTCCCTTCCAACCCACCAACCCCCCAACTCGCCCTCGGCACATGCACCGCCCTCCCACCCACACCCCAAAACTTCACCCAAAACCCTTCTTTCCTACCCATCCTCTCCTCCGTCTTCGCTCAACACGCTACTTCGGATCCCTACGTGCAGTCGCAAGCAGCCGTGTACGCCGCCCCGGGCGGTTCGTCGTTTGCCCCGGAAAGCGGCAGTGACGACGGCGCAGGCGGCGCCATGCACCAGGGTGGCAGCGGGGGCGCCGGCCACGGCGGCTGGATCCACGTGAGCGATTTGAGGAATCCGCCTGATTACGGGCGGATTGCGTGGCCAGAGGATATCTTTGGGAGTGTGGAGGTGGATGGGAATGGGCGGTTTGTGGATGGTGGCGCGGGTGGGTGGCAGGATAGTGGGACTTATCGGGTTGTTACGAGGGAGGGGATACTGGGGCTGACGGAGTTTATGAGAGGGAAGGTTGTGGAGAGGTTGGTTGAGATGGAGAGGGAGATTGGTGGGGGGAAGGAGTGATGGAGGTTTTATATAAAAGGGTTATGGTATGAAAGAGGGGGGCTTTATGAGTATGCGGGGAGTGACGACTTAGGATACCCAGGTGGCAGTTACGTTGTTTGGTCTAGCATAGCATGAATGAAGCGAATTGAGCGAGTAAGCACGAATTTGAATAACTGATCTGTGATTTTGTGTCGTAGCAAACATGGCCACGGCACAGGTCTATGGGGGTATCAAAACTACCTACTTCATCCCTCGACTCACTCCCCCCTCACCGCATCTTCAATCCACCACCCACGCCTAACTAAGCTCCCCCGCCTCCAACCTCTCCAAAAAACACCTCCCAAACCTCTCACACTGCCCAAACGCAACCCTAAACCCCTCATCCCCCCCATAATAAGGATCATCAATCTCCTCCCCACGCTCACTCCTCTTGCCCACCGCCTTCCTCCTCCGCCCCCCAAACTCACCAAACAACATGACCTTGCCCACACCTTCCTCGCTGCCCCCCAACCTCCTAACCTCTTCTCTCCGCAACGCCTCCACATCAGCGAGATTCTCGTCGTCCATGCACAGGATGTAGTCGAAGTCGCCAAAGTCGGTGCGGGGCGAGAATTTCCGTGCCGAGTGCTTGTAGGTGGTTATGTTGGCGGCGCGGAGGGTGGACATGGTACGTGAGTCGGGGGAGGAGCCGACGTGGTAGGCGCCGGTGCCGCAGGAGTCGATGGTGGTGATTAGGGGGTGTGATGGGGATGTGAGGGATTGGAATACTCCTTCGGCCATTGTGGAGCGACCTGGTTGGTGTGTTAGGATTGTGTTTGGGCGTGTGAAAGTGGGGACGTACATATGTTGCCGAGGCAGACGAAGAGGACGGAGACGGGTTTGGGGGATTTCGTGGAGTCGGCCATTATGTGTGGATTACGGGATGTGTGTATAGTGATGTAGGAAGAAATTGTGTTTGGCTCTGGTATAGATGTGGGGAAAGATGTTTCTCTTGGCATAGTCCATATCGATCAAGTCGCGAGCCTCGTCATGCAGGCAGTGATCGGAGCCAGCATCGTGTCAGGCTGGTGTGTAGAAACGTTCCCGAACTTCCGTCCATGCACTACCCAGTGCGAAACTGGTCTGGTGTACGATATCAGTGCCATCTAGTACGTAGACAGCGAGGGCAGATCCCTCTTAAAATAAGCACGCTGCGTAAGTGCATGCGGCTGTGAAGTGTGGCGGGCGCCTCTAGTCAGCAGTTTCACGGCTGCGACTCCCTTGGCACTTGAATCTTGTCTGAGGCTGAACAAGTCGAAATACAAAGTACAACAACAATCCAACAAGTTATCCCCGTGCTACACTTTCACCGTGTGCACATTGTTGCCGTCGGCCTTTTTCGTTGCTTTTAGTACACCCGGTTACATCATCGTCCCGCGCGTTGCTGGGTAAACAACGTGCACCCTGGCACCAGATCGGAACCGCCAAAACCTATCTGAAACCGAGGGAATACCAGTCGCTTTTTCCTGCCAGGTCGTCTACTGTATCACTATATCACTACAGAATCAACAACAGTCTCGTCTTGTGTATCTTTTTCTGGGCCTCTCCTTGTACTTTTGTGTCTGGCCTGTTGATTCGGCTGCCGCACTGTCGCGCCTTGATTGAAGCGCATCAGCAGCACAGGGACCCGGACCGCAACCATGTCTTACAACCGACTAGGTGAGTAGCAATCTGCCGTGTTAGTCAAGTTAAATCATTCACTACCTGCAAGCCTTTCTGCCTCTGCTTCTGCCTCTGCCTCTCTGCGCACCTGCCTGAGACTCGACTTTTACATAGCCACCAAGCGAGTCACACTGACGGTACTGACGGTATTACCTTAGGCCAACCGGCAAACGACGACCCGTACGAGATGGACCCTCGACGACCAGCTGGGCGCACGCCCTCACCTGGACAGCCTCTGCGCGGCTACCAACTCGAAGATCGATATGCCTCGCCGGGGCCTTCGCACTCGGGCATCTTGGAGATCCCCATGGGACCCAACCCAGCTGCTGCTTCCGGCGACCGTTTGCCGTTGCAACCCAGTGTATGTCTTTTTTTTTGCTTTTTGGGAGTGCGTCCATGGGCGACAGCGCGAGTGTAGAGGAAACAAGGCTGTCAGGCTAACATGCGCCAATGACAGTACTCGGTAGAAAACATACCATATGCCGCTGGCAACTATCACGACGACTACGACCCACGACCGCAACGACATGATGGCGATTACTCGCTTGACCCTCAAGCACATCACGATGCATACTACAACCAGCCCTATGACCCTACACCGCATGATGAGAGCCCCGGCGCATACGGCACACAGCCCACGCACTACTGGCAGGATGAGGATATGGACAAGCCCATGATGCACGGCGACAACGCCTATGGTCCGGATCCCCACGACATGGAGGATCCCGAAAACCCATTCCACGACGTGCCTGCGCCCACAATCATGCCTGCCCCGATCAAGCGATGGAAGACGGTGAAGGAGGTGCAGCTGTTCAAGGGCAACTTGGTTCTAGACTGCCCCATCCCTCCACGATTGCTCAACCAAGTTCCGCATGCACAGCCCCCGGAGCGTGACGAGTTCACACACATGCGCTACTCAGCCGCTACGTGTGATCCTGCAGACTTCGATGCGGAGCGCTTCACCCTGCGCCAGAAGCTGTTTGCCAAGCCTCGCCATACCGAGCTCTTCATTGTCATCACCATGTACAACGAAGAGGACGAGCTGTTCGCCCGAACCATGATCGGCGTAATCAAGAACATCGAGTACATGAACTCGCGTACAAACAGTAAGACGTGGGGCAAGGACGCGTGGAAGAAGATCGTAGTCTGCGTCGTAAGCGATGGCCGTGCCAAGATCAACCCGCGCACTCGCGCCGTGCTAGCTGCACTCGGGGTTTACCAGGACGGCATCGCCAAGCAGCAAGTCAACGGCAAGGATGTGACTGCCCATATTTACGAGTACACCACCCAGATGACGCTGGACATCAAAAAGGGTGTCGTCGGCGTCAAAAAGGGAAACACCCCGGTGCAGATGCTGTTTTGTCTAAAGGAAAAGAACCAGAAGAAGATCAACTCGCACAGATGGTTCTTCCAGGCATTCGGTACCGTCTTAGATCCGAATGTGTGTGTGCTTATTGATGCTGGTACCAAGCCTGGCAAGGACTCCGTCTACCAGCTGTGGAAGGCGTTCGATCTCGAGCCCATGTGCGCAGGTGCTTGTGGTGAGATCAAGGCCATGTTGGTGCACGGAAAGAAGCTTCTGAACCCGCTGGTAGCCACTCAGAACTTTGAGTACAAGATGAGCAACATTCTGGATAAACCGCTAGAGTCTGCTTTTGGTTTCATTTCTGTCCTTCCCGGTGCCTTCTCTGCCTACAGATATGTTGCACTCCAAAACGACAAGACTGGCCAAGGGCCGTTGGAGAAGTACTTTGCTGGTGAGAAGATGCACGGCGCCAACGCTGGCATTTTCACAGCCAACATGTACCTGGCTGAAGATCGTATTCTCTGCTTCGAGCTCGTCTCCAAACGAAACTGCCATTGGATTCTGCAGTACGTCAAGTCTGCTACGGGAGAAACCGATGTACCGACGACCATGGCCGAGTTCATCAGTCAGCGTCGTCGCTGGTTGAACGGATCTTTCTTTGCTGCTGTCTACGCCCTGGCTCACTCTTTCGACATTTTTCGAAGTGATCACTCTTTCTTGCGCAAAACCATGTTCCTTGTCGAGTTTGTCTACCAAACCATTAGCATGATCTTCGCCTGGTTCGCTCTCGGTAACTTCTTCCTGGTCTTCCGCATTCTCACGGCTTCACTCCAAAACGAACTCGGCACCGTCGGCAAAGTGCTCTTCATCATCTTCGAATGGCTCTACATCGCCGTCTTAATAACGTGTTTTATCCTCTCACTCGGTAACCGGCCCCAAGGTTCAAACAAGTGGTACATGTCGATGGTGTACTTTTGGTGCATCATCATGACCTACCTCATGTTCGCCTCAGTCTTCATCACCGTGCGCTCGGTGCAAGGGCAAATAGCCGCCAACAACGGGTTCAACGTCGGCGACCTCTTCAAGGACAAGATCTTCGCCACGCTCGTCATCTCGCTGCTCTCAACCTACGTCATGTGGCTCATCGTGTCCATCATCTTCCTCGACCCCTGGCACATGTTCACATCCTTCTTCCAGTACCTCCTCATGACACCCACATACATCAACATCCTCAACGTCTACGCCTTCTGCAACACACACGACATCACGTGGGGCACCAAGGGCGATGACAAGGCCGAGAAACTCCCAATCGTCATCACGAAAGCAGATGGTAAAGCGGACATCCAGGCGCCGACCGATGACGCCGATCTCAACACGCAGTATGAAACCGAGTTACGCGTGTTTAGTGAGAAGTGGAAGGAGGAGAAGAAGATTCCATCGCCCAGTGAGAAGCAAGAGGATTATTACAAGGGATTTCGATCGGGCGTTGTTCTGTTTTGGATGTTTTGTAATTTGGGACTGTCGGCGCTGGTGCTGCAGTCTGGCGGGCTCGAGTTGACGGTTAGTACGCCGGATGAGGCGCAGAAGAAGAGGAATGATGCGGCGACTATTTATCTCGCCGTGGTGCTGTATAGTGTGGCGGGGTTGGCGGCGTTTAGGTTTATTGGGGCCATGTGGTTTTTGGTTGTGCGGATGGTGAGTTATATCCTTTCTCTGAGTGTGAGAATACTTTTTGGGAGGCGTGGTACTAACGAATTTGCAGTTCAGAGGTGTTTGATAATGGAGATGTTGGGCTTGCATGGTTGGAAAAAGACGGTTTTCAGATCGTCGTCGTTTTGTTTGTTTGCTTGTTCGAATGGAGTTTGGGCGAAGGGTTAGGTCATCATCATCGCATGTGGGCAAGTATAGGTGTGCCTTATGGCGCTTCTTTTAGTTTTTTTTGTGTGTCGTGGGATGTTCCATGACCTGATTGATGATACCAGAAGTTATGAAGATACGTATGCATTTTTCGTTGTAGTAAATGTCTTTTTTTTTTGGGTTGTTTGAATGGTTGAGTGGTGGGTGGAGTGGTGTTTCTGTCCACTTGTCTTGTGTAGGGGTATTCCTGTCGTCGTCCTCGTCTCACCGCATGGGTTTAGACATGCTGTATCTGTCATGTTTCTTCACTTGGTATGTTCGGCATGTCTTGTTATGCTGTCTATGCTTTCCTCATGCGACAGCACGCACTGTAAACATCAAGACGCTCTCTCATCTGCCAGCTCTTCACAGCGTGTTCTATCTCATCTCTTGCCATCTTCTGTCTTACCTTTGTCCTTCTGCTGAGTTTAAGCATGCTGTATTTGTCACGTTACTTCACTCATCATGCTCGACACGTCTTGTTATGCTGCCTATGCTTTCCTCATGCGACCGCACGTAGTGTAAACAGCAAGACGCTCGCTTATCTGCAAGCTCCCCATAGCCGATTTTCCACAGCATGTTCTAGAGCAAGGCGGCTTCACCTTTACTTTCGGTGGCGTCAGTGTCGCTGCAGTACGCTTCAGCACGGGCCCCGCCTCCACTATATATTCAGGGCAACAGCGAACAGCACAAAACTTCTGCGAGCAACACCACTTTTTCCTCGCTTCAAGTTACCTCTGCAACTGGAAATCCGACTGCGCACGTGGTCAATCAGAGCTAATTCATCTACGACAGGCTGCAATCATGAGCTGGGACACTCCCGTTGGTGGTAAGTTTTTGCTGCGATGATGACTGGGCTATGCTGACAGCAAAAAGGCGCCGACTCTTGGGGCGGTGCTGATACCGGCGCTGCTGCTGATACTGGCGACGCCTGGGGCGGCGGAGGAGATGCTGGTGCAGACACTGGCGGTGATGCTGGCGATGACAGCTGCCGAATGTAGGTGACAACGTCTCTGACTACATTGGCCATCGTGCTAACACTCATGATAGCTGCAAGCAAACCGGTCACTTTGCTCGCGACTGCCCTGACAAGCCCGAGGGCGGCGATGGCGGTCTGACTGGCGAGTGTTACAACTGCGGACAAGTCGGTCACAACAAGGCAGACTGTCCCAACGAACGTGTTGAGCGTGCCTTCGAGGGTACCTGTAAGCTCTGTGATCAGGAAGGTCACCGTGCCGTCGACTGCAAGTCTCGTCGCAAGGTCGATTGGTCTGGTGTTCCCGAGTTGGATGCTGAAACTGCTTGGACCGCTCTCATCAATGCCGCCAAGGACGTAGACCTCGATGCTTTCCGTATCTGTCTGAGGGCTTACGCTCGCGCTATCATGGACGA